TTACAGAAACTTTAAAAAAATCAGGTCTATAATCGCTTTGGAGGAAGAAGCATTTGGTTGCATCTGACATCTTTGTATGTGCTCATTCTCAAGATGTTGAATTGTTCTAAACTGTTGTTTTGTTTTCTTTCCTACTTTTCCTCTTCTGTCTACTTTCAGTACCTATACTTTTTTTTCTTTAATAATGAGGATATTTTAGAAGGTGTGTAATAAAATGCCAGCCTTGATTGGGGTGAGTGTGGTGGAAGCTGTTGGAAAACAGCTCAGAAGTATTTTTTAAATGGAACAAAAGAGCCTTCTAAATTAAAATTCTGCATAAAATCCAGAATAAAGGCCTAAAGAGGCTGTTTACACATAAAGGAATACTTTCTGTTTTGCATTTTTGAATCCCGAATCATTAATTCTTTAATTCCAAAGTGTATTTTTATCTCATCCATCCTAATTCTGCCTGAACCCCAATATACCCAACATCCCTGAAACTTTTTATGTTCTTTGTTATTATTTTTTGTTTTAGATTGATTCCAAAGTACTTTTTGATTAATTCAACCGAAAATGTCAAACTGGTTGTTTAGGAACTACTCTAAAAATTAGTGTTAGAAGACAAGGTGAAGGTGGCTATTTGCTTGTTGAGAATATAACAGTTGTGAGCTGGTGATGTGCTGACCTCACGGCCACAGCTTAGACAGCCAATTGCCAAAGGCCCAGAGATTTAAAAGGGCCATTTGATATCACATTGGTGTTTGGAATCAACACAGTAGGAGCACTGCAAGCTTTACAACTCAGGTCTCTAGTATTTCATTCATCCAATTAATAAACATTTACCAACTTCCCAAGGAATGAGCATCAAGCCAGGAGCCAGGATGCCTTTCCTGGAGCTTCATCAAATGATGTTCAAAGCGTGGATATATTTGGGATGAGCATCTTCATCCTCACATTTCTCCCTTCTTTTCACTATGGCTTCCCCTTTCCGTGTTGAGCTAACCTAAAGTGTTTTGCCTTAAAAAAAAAAACACATGGCAGAAATTTGAGATACAATAGCCAAATTATTAAGAAGCAGAAACTGGGATTTCTAAAGAAGGGGAAATGAAACATTCAGAGGCAATATTACTATTTTTTTTATTCGAAGCCCTTTGCTTTTTTTCAGTTCTGGAAGTATGTTGATGGATTAAACTCAATATACACAGCAGGATGAAAAGGGGACAGAGTCTCAACTACAAGGAGCAAGAAGTACAGCAAGATTAGAGAGAATATGTTTGCTCTAATGGAAACACCAAACAAACACATGTTGCTTTGAGAATAATTACCATGCATAGATATATAGTCAAAGATTGGTCAAAGATGATTCCATGCATGACTCTACCCATGGCTAAAGGAAAACGAAGTGTGGTGAACATAGCAAATATACAACTGGATAAAAAAGAAAAATACTCATCTATAGTCCTACTATTTGGATAGGGGCACAGCCTCAGTCAGCAAGCATTGCCTTTCTACCAGTGTGTTTCTCACACACAAACAGGTACATTTACATATTTTCAGTCATTGTCTGTTTGTAGTATTCAGTGTCAACTCCCTGAATATTACATATTCATCCAATGCATGAACTCCAACATGGTCACAGTGGTCATAACTGAGTTATGTAATTGAGTTAATCAACCCCCCCAGTAGACAGTTTATCTTTGTTTTGTGCTTTAGCTCTGGAAATAGTGGTCTGATAAATATTAATCTGGAAAAACTTCTTTAACTATTCAGTGACATGCCAGAGACAAAGCTAAACTTTCTTCTCAGCAGTATAGCTTTATTTTTTAACTGATACAAAACATATTTTTAGTAATTTAAATTATATTAGCATATACTTATTGCTCATAATAATGGTTTTTATTATGCCATTTTCACACATGCTTGTAGCTGTGAATATAGATATAAAACTAGGTATAAAACTAAAAATAAATAAACCATACAACCCCTGCACGAGTGTATACACATACACATACACACATACACACACACACACACACACACACACACACACACACACACACACACCACAACTCAGCATAATCCAGATGATTTTCTTATACTGAAATAAAGTTTTCATAAAGAAAGAAAAAAATTACCAAACAGTTGTATTTAAAAGTTCCAAACAGTAGGGGTTTATATAAGGTCAATATCCTCCAAATTATACTTTTGGAGCTAGCTTAATTGGTAAAGATTGAATCTCCAGAAAGCACCTCCTAAATATGATATATATACTATACCACTAAGCCCAGGGAACACTGTGAAATAGGGATATAAATAACAGAACAACTAAGAGATAGGGAGAAGGGCTGTGAAATATTAAGCATGACTTGGCCATGGCAATGATGAACTCTCAGCAATTGTGGGCACTGAGACTGAGCCCACACAAAACAGGCCCATATAGCAATCAGCTATAGAAGAGAAGGAGTTCACAGGACTCTCTTATTTGCTATTGAACTATTAACAACTAGCAGATTCTGGGTGAAGCAAGGCCTAATATTCAGTTGCATACCCAGTGGTGAACCTATTAGTTGACAGTTTGAAACCAAGGTCATACAGATAGCCTGAGTTAAACTTTGTGGAAAACAAAACAAAACTCATGAACACAGGGGAAAAAGTGATGTCAGAGAAGGAGGGAAACAAGACAAAGGGAGGAGGAGAGTAACAAGAATGTGTTTTCACATGTATAAAATTGTCCAAGAATCGGCTGCAGAGATGGCTCACAACCCAAATAAATAAATAAAATTCAAAGAAAGTCAAAGGACAACATTTATTGACATAAACAAATGTTTGCACTCATATTTTTAAGTCAAGAAAAGTGGTACATGTCTGTAATTATAGTGATGGTGGAAGTGAGGATAGATATTTTGAAGGTTACTAGCCAGCTAACCCAGCTGAAGAGATAGGATATAGGTTCAGTGAGAGACCCTGCCTCAGAACATCAAGTGGAGGGTATCTGAGCAACATTGCTGACAACCTCCACATGAGAGTGCACAGGAACTTGGGCATCCATAGACACATGGACACAAAGAAAAGAAATGAGGCAAAACCAAAAAAAAAAAAAAAATTTATCTCAGAGAGCTCATGACTGTCAATAAGGAATATTAATAAAGTCTTAAAATCCCACGAGTACCATATTTACAGAAATTCAGTATGTTCCCCTTCATGTATAATGTATAAGCCTTTAAAAATTCTACACACACTCTTTGATAAGCAAGTGGGAAGTGTCTTCATGAGTTCTCTCATGTAGGCTCATCCATCTCCTTATTGTACTGGTTATACAATTTGTTTCATGTCCCAGTGTCAAATCCAACTGCTCATGGGAGTGATGCAATATTTTTGTCTACTCAATTTAATACATGAGTTATATCCTAGTTAATAAATTTTAAGTCAACATTATTCTGCATCCGACACATCTTAGGGGCATCATGAAGCATCTTCTAGAGGTTGAACTCCCAGCATGAAATAATTGTTGTGTAACTATTAAAAATAGTATTTAAAAAACTACAGATCTCATCTTCCTCATTGTTTTTCCCCCAGCTATCTATTTATATCACCTGGAAAGTGAAAGAGTGTAAACTTTATGGCCCTCTGCTTAGCATTTTTTCCATTAAGGTTGAGTTAGACAAGGGAAAATGTCACCGCACTGTGGAAACAGCAAATAAGAAGTAACTACTTTTTGAATATGTAAATTCTTACCTTCAAGTCCACCCCCCCCCGCCCCCGCCACCTTTCCCTAAAGCAAACCAGTATGTTAGGATGTTTGACTGTTACTCTGGCAAATTTCTGCACTCTTGAAACGATTGTCAACAGTGCTAGGAGGACAGTCTCGAAAGGAAAACTGTCTCATTATAACTGAAACTGGTCAGCAAAGACCTTGTCTTGTCACTTTTGTTTGAGGGTTATCCATGGGGGCATTGGTGTACTCCCCCAAATAATGAGGTGATTTGCCTGCTGCTAAATACCATCCTTGGGGTGTTTACTTGCCATTACTTGGGGTTTGCACAAAGTCCTAAGTGTGGAATGTTAATTTACATCACTATGTCCACTCAGGAAACAATAGACAGTCAAAACCAACATATTTGTGCTTAACCTTAATAAGACAATTGGAAACACTATGCAAAATAATGTCCAGGCCAGAGTTTTACAGAAGCTCTCAGGCTACCATGCTTCACTGTGGGCAGAGCAGAGAAGACAGTATAGGGCAGGCTTAGCCATGGCTTCATGATTAGCATCACCTTCCGAGACAAGGCAGGTAGTGCTCTATTAGCTTTCTCAAACAGCTTCAATTTAGCTCATCATTTAAAACAAGATTTTTTTAGCTCTCTTCAATCTGCTGTTATTCCTGCAAAAATGGTAATTCTGGTCTAGAATTTCTTAAAGTACCTTCAGAAAAAATTCTGAATAAATGAATGGTTTCTACAATGCTAGAAACTCTATCTCTGGACTTATAGGTCTTTGGCAATGAAATTTTGCTATTCTTCCAAACAGAGAATAGAATCTCTTTGCCTTCACCACCAAATCTGGCTTGCCCAGGATGTGTCATAAACAACAGAAAGAGGTAGATATGACAATGGGTGTCTTTTGAGGCTAGGACTTGGTCCACTCTTGTTGATTTTGGAGACTTCTAGGAATGCTATCCTGACAGTGGATAGTGTTGTGCTCTGGAGCATGGGCAGCCTTGGAACATGCCACACATGAACAGATAGGTTTGAAAGCAGAGATGGTCTACTAAACCCAGTGAGTCCCCAGGCTATCTGAATGACACCAGTGGTCACAGTAGAGCAGCCTATTCAGCACACGGAATTAAGAAAAACAATAAGTCATAATTTAAAGCTACCAAATACTGGGAATATTGCTTCAACAACAGTTAGTCAAATAGCCTCTAGCAGTATATTGAGCAGCAATTTAGGAAACAAAGCACTCATTATATTACTAACAATTTGTTGACTTTATGCTTCATCCTGTCTGGGTTTATTACTTACACATGGCACAGGATTTTCCTGCGTAACCAGGAGCACAGTCACAGTTCCCAGACTTTTCATTGCAATGACCTCCATTTTCACAGAGTCCGCAGGAAAACTGGCATTCTGGTCCCCAGAGGCCATCAGGGCAGGCTTGTAAAACAAAACAAAAAGAAAGATGGCTCCAGATTTCACTTTCACTGTTGCCTGAGTTGGTAAATTTTGTGTGTGTGTGTGTGTGTGTGTGTGTGTGTGTGTGTGTGTGTCAAAGAAAAAAACATGTTCAATAGCCTCTGAAGATTTGTAGCCCCTCCAAAAGCATTCCCTGAAGAAATCAACATGATACTGCATCTGCCACTTTGGAAATACAGGTACAGTAGTAGTTACCATTTTTCTATTCTTCTTTTCTTTTGCTAAAAGTGTGTGTGTGTGTGTGTGTGTGTGTGTGTGTGTGTGTGTGTGTGTGGTATATTTTTTTCTTTCAGGCAGTAACAATAGAAGTGATTTGGATGTATTTTTGGAAGCACTTGTACAGAAAAAGCACGAAACAGAGATGTAGCTTGTAAAAAGCAGCTTAGAAGGCTGCCTCTAAATGCTAGCTTCATGTTTACTCTCCTCATCATGGTTTCCTTCTTCAAGCCTAGTCAAGGCAGAACCTTGTAGCTGGTATTCTTTATGGGCATGTACAGTGTCTGAAGTGGTATTGTCCTGCTGCATGTCCATTGAACTTTTGATGGAAAAGGAAAATCAGTAGATATTACTGTCACATGGGCCCTTTAGAGACAGCAAAATCCATTATCCAAACTTCTGCAAATAGAAACCTGGGAGAAATTATCCTGAGAAAACAGCAAATCTTCCTTAAACATTTGACAATGGTAGAAAGTTGTAGTGCACTGTGCTCAGCTGTGATGTATCTTTTGTGCTGGGCTGAGTCTCTGAATAGCACAAATACCACCTTTTTTGAGGTGTCAATACCAGATCTGCAGTCATATCTTTATATAATTACATAATATTTCCATAAAAAAACAGCCAGTCACAACTTTACTCTATATTAAATGAGGTTTGGAGAGATGATGAGGTCGATCTGATGTCATAAAGCTGTAGGCATCCTGAATCTTTCAGTTTTGGAACCCAGGTCTCCCATCAGTACATGATGCTGGACCATTCAGAGCCACTCAAGTCATTTATTATGCTCTGAATTTCAAGTTTTCCTGCCATGGAACTGTTTGAATAAAGATTTGATTTTCTTGCAATGGCATGGGAGTTGCATGGACTTCCTAAAATGGGCTTATGAGGGTCACTAAATCATTGAGAACTCCACATTTAGAAATCTGCCTATTGCTGGGGCCCCAAATACCCAGCAAACAAACTTTTACCCAGGATACACAGGCAGTTTGGAAGTGGTTTGTAGCTTCCATATCACAGGTTACTGGAAGAATGTGCCTTTTCTGTTTTTAGAAGCCATTGCTGATAAGCCAACTGAGTTTGGTGTTATTGTCCAGGATGCTGGTCCTGAAACAATCCTTAATTGATTATTTAAGTGCAATTCTGATGTAGGCCTGGAGGTAAGAATTTTGAAGATGTGTCTGGCCCTGGGAGCACTTGGCCTACTCCAGTGGTTTAGACACAGAGAGAAAAACAACAGGTGTGATTTTCATATTGCACAACTCTTAAAGAGCTCTTTTTGCCTTAATTTCAGCTGCCAATCATGGTGAGCCCATTCACATGCTCCAGTCTTATTCTTAATTTCATTTTGTGGTTAGACAAAACTATCAAGATTGGACAAAGTTATCTGATTGAAAAATAATATGTTTTCTAGAGATTATGGTGACCTCTCTATTTTGCTGATTTACATATACTTTCAACTCATTTTCTTTCACAGTGGGATCTCAGAAGCCTTTTCCAATAAAGTATATTCAGAAGTTGCTTTAAGAAAATGTTGTCAGAATAAATTAAATTTACCCAGGTGTGTGTACATGGTGTTACACCTTGTGTGGTGACTTCCAGAACACATCTCAGTGGGGACATGAATTGAAGACTAACACTAGGCTTAAAACCAGTGTAGAGAGTAAGAGAGTGGCATGAGACCCACTCTTTTGTCATACTAAACATATTTGCTTGAGGATGGACTTCTGTTTCCTCAAGTTCCCATCCTCATTACCTAGGTAGTCACAATGCAGCCACTGAACTAGGCCACTGGGCTTGCTCATGCAATGCAGGTTTCTAGTCACAAACAGGAAGAAAGTACTTCTCTAAACCAGGGTATAGGGAATTCTAAGACAAATTTCAATTCTACTGCTTCTGTGAGTGGACTCAACACGATGGTGTCTTCTATCCAAGCCCAGCATCTTCCTGTGGTTGCAAATGATGTGACGACTTACCACTAGTTATGAACATTTGGTTTGTTGTATGTGTATAGTTTTTACAAAAGAGCAAAAATGCCATGACATTTTTTCCTAAATAACAATACCTAGTACTTAATGAAAAATAGATATGTATGCACTGATTTAAGAAAAGATTTACTGACCAGTGTCTTTATTGCATGAGTAAGGAAATACATGAGAAAACAAAACACACATAGCCCACTTGGAACCCAGATTCTAGCAAGAGAATGATCAATCTACAACAGTAATTGCTGAATGTAGTAGATCACAAGATGCAAAATATGATAGGGCAACAAAAAGAACTCCAAGGAAAGTTGCAAGGTGAATTCTTAAGAAGTGGTATGCATGAGATTCAGTGACAAGGTGACCAGACACCAAAAACATCCAGAGTCTACAAACCAGGGATGGCATTACTATCAGCTTGGAACACCATTTTCCCAATTTATGTGTTCAACATATCTACACATATGTTTACACATATCTACATGTAATTTATGGCTGGAATCATAGCTTGCTGCTTATAGATTTATCTAAAAATTATGAGATATCTATACAGTTGAGAAATGACAGGGTACCCATTTTTAGCTCTCATGGTTAAGGAACTGTCAATAAATTTATTTGGATGATTGACTTTTATATGAATGAACATCGTCTTTTATTCTGGAAGAGACCAGGTTCTTGGCTTATGGGTTTGTGTTTTCTAGCTTTAATTATTTTCAGCTTTAATTTTAGGCTGTGTGATCATTTTCCTTTACTCGGGCTAGAAAGGAGGCTGCTAACAGCAGTGGCCAAGAAGACAAGGCTAAATAATTGAATTGCCTCCCTGTCTCAGTTTCCTCACCTGCAACAGGGGATCAATAAAGCATTCCCACCTCTGAGGACACTAGCACAGATTACCTAATTAAGGACCAACGCTGAACAATGGTTGATCATTTATTCTTAGAGAATCACAAAAATCCATCATTTGATTGTACCTTCCTGGCACCTGTTGCCTTGGTAACCAGATTTGCAGGTGCAGCTACCATTTTTGGCATTGCAATCCAGGGTATTCTCCTCCACACACTGGCATTCCAAAGAACAGCCAGCTCCATAGGTCCCCCTGGGACAACCTGCAAGCAGAGTGAAGCAGACTGGTCACCTGAAAACAGTGCTTTGTTTATTTGAAATTGTTAGTGCATAGGCATGACATTCTTTGGGGCCTGATTATAAGGAGAATAAGGGGATCATCATCATGACTGCCAAAAAAAAAAAAAAAAAAAAAAAAAAAAGAGGCAACAAATGTCTTTCAAATCAGGCAATTCATTTGCTTTTTGGCAACTGGACATGAACAGTGAAAGCTGAATTACTTAAAAGGCTGTGGTGATGCTGGGAGAGAGATTGCTTCTCAAATGTGCTCTATTGCTTCCTGGACTTAATATTCTCCAAGGACTGCTTTAGCTGCCAGGCCCCTCATCATCCAGCTGAAGCCTGGAGACGATGGACAAGCACTTATGTGAAGGTTGTCCATTGTCCTTATTCCCCCTCATTATATGGTAATTAGAAATAATTTTACATCTCACAGATTACACAAAGCTTCCATTGTGACAGCGATATTATCTTGACCACTTCTGTGGGAAGTGCTGCTTACCCTGTCTTCTTTATTTTCCCCAGGCCATTGAGTTTTAGAGATGATGCAATTAGGACTGAAATTCTAACTTGAAAACATCCACCCTTGTGTTTAGGATAGCATGCCATACTCCATGCATTCTCTCTCTTCCTCTTTCTTACTCTCTATAGATAATCCCACATCACCAACAGTCAAAAGAAAAATGGGGGGAAATCCATACACAATACCACCACAACCAACAAATCCAAAACAAGCAAGAATTAACAATCAATGGCCATTAATATCCATCAATATATTTTTTATGTAAGCATGTTTTCAATTCTTTTTTTTTTTAGTTTACATGTCAGTCCCAGTTCCCTGTCTAACCCTCCCTCCCTCCCTCCCTCCATCCCTCTTACCCTCTCTGCCCCCTCACATGCACCCTGACCACTCTCCCCTCCCATCTCCCACCCCCATTCCACATGTAGGGCTATGCCATCCAGGTGGGGTCATGTAAATCTGTCAAGTCATTTGAAGTAGGGACTAGGACTTCTCTCCTGTCTCTAGGTTAAGGCAGTATCCCTCCATGGGGGATGTGTCCGCAAGGTCCTTTTGTGAACCAGGAATACATCCTGGGTCCACTGTCTGAGATCCCTTAGACTGCTCAGTCCTTCTAGCTGAGACTCATATTCAGGGGGTCTGTGTCAGTCTCATGCTGGATTCCCAGCACCATTCTGGTGGGCCATTAGCTTCTCCTTGTTCAGGTCTTGCTGTCTTTATGTGTTTCTGCAACCTGGTCTTGTCTTCTCTCTCTGCATCTGGATTCTAGTTTGACTCAGTGTTTACTTATGGGTGTTTGCTTCTGTTTCCAACAGGTACTAGATGAGGGCTCCATGATGGTGGATAAGTTAGTTGTTGATCTCATTATCAGGGAAGGGCATTTATGGTAGACTTTCCCTCAATATTAATGGTCTTAACTTGCCTATAAAAAGACACAGGCGAGAGAGAGAGAGAGAGAGAGAGAGAGAGAGAGAGAGAGAGAAAGAGAGAGAGAGAGAGAGAGAGAACATAAAAGAGGGAGCCAGTATTGGTTTGAAGATAAAATTGAATACAAAGAAAGGTCTAGAGAATTAATTACAAGACTGCTGCCAAATAACAATTTGAGTTTCCATGGAAAGGCTACCATAAATGCCCTTCCCGGAGAGTGAGATCAACAACTAACTTATCCACGGAGCCCTCAACTAATGCCTGTTGGAAACACTGAGTCGAACTAGAACCCAGATGCAGATGGAGAGGACAAGACCAGGCGGCTGAATCACATAGAGACAGCTTACCTGAACAAGGAGGATCTAAGTACCACTAGACTGATAGCTGGGAATCCAGCATGGGACTGACTCAGGCCCCCCTGAATGTGGGTCTCAGCCAGAAGGACTGAGCAGTCTAAGGGTTCTCAGACAGTGGAGCCAGGATGCACAAAAGGACTTTGGGAACATATCCCCCATGGAGGGATAACTGCCTTAATCTAGAGACAAGAGAGAAGCCCTAGTCCCTACTTCACATGACCTGTCAGACCTACATGACCCCAACTGGATGGCATTCCCCTACATATGGAATTGGGGTGGGGGGATGGGAGGGGAGGGTGGTTATAGTGCATGTAACTAGGGTAAAAGGGAGGGAAGGAGGATGGGAGGAAGGGAGGGAGGGAGAGGGAACTGGCATCGACATGTAAAGTAATAAATTAAATTAAAAAAAATGTTTTGACTCCAAAATTTAAGTTCAAGGATAAGTTACTGGGGAAAAGGATTTCTATTTTTGTTTCCACAGAAAATGAAAAGATGTGGATTCCTTCCAGACTAATGTGGTTTGATCAAGACAGACCACCTGAAACAGAGTACCAGGTGATCCTACATTCAAAAAAGCTGGACAAAGCAGCCTTACAGACTACAGCCAGGATTTCTGAATCTTCTTCGAATCCCCCATGACAGCGCCCCTTACCAGCAGGAAGTAGTTTGGAAAGAACAATGCCCAAATTCCCAAATATTGTCTATAAATGTTTGTTTTCATTTAAGTGGACTTGGTTATATAAAATAAAAAAAAAAAATAAAAAGACACAAGCTAAAAGATGGATACAAAGACAGAATCCATCCTTCTACTGAGTTCTTAAAACTGCTCAATTCCCTTTCCAAAGCATATCTCTGACAATTACTTTGTTTCTCAGTTAACAATGTTCAAGATATTTCTCAAATAAAATGTGTTTTAAGGTGTTCCTTGACTCAAAATAATTGTTTGGTAAGCCCTGACAGACTTTTCTGTGGAATGCTGCCTGCAGAAAATGCAATGAATTGTGGTGCTTCCCTAGGGGACCAGAAGTAACATTTTTAGTGGAGTTCATTCTATGTGGTGGCTATGATGGTTCAAAGCAAATCCCAACTCTGGTTGCCAGGGACAATTGAATAATCTTTAAAGCCTTTTGAATACTTCAGTAATGGTTCCTGTTCTGATAACTAATCTTTTTCATGACCACCAAGTTCCACAGTTGGCATCAGACTTCCCAAGACAGGGGTTCTGTCTTGTTCTAGGCTCTTCTGCTTATTTCATAATATATGCTTGGAAATAAGTCTGGATAAAAATGGAAACATTTGTTAGGCATCGAGTTAGAACATCCATCACTTGATTATCAGGGCCTAAAACTATGACTTTATTTCTGAATACATCAAGAATCTAATATATTAAGACAATGTTGTGCTGGGATAGCCGAGTTTCTGACTTAAAACACATAATGAGCTTACAAACTAAGGGATTTTTTTTTCCAGAGACCTGGACATGTAATGAAAGTGCCAATGAAGGGCAGTATGATGCCATAGAAGAAATTTCCTGAACTGATTCTTCCATAACACCTTTAGAAGGATCAGAAAGCTACGGGCACTTTGAAATAGGGCTAACAGCATCCAGAACTGTCAGACAATGGGTTTCTGTTCTAAGATACTCAATCTGTGGCACTTGGTGTGGCTAGGAAAGTAATGATGGGTTGAAGGACTTGAGATCCTCGGGGCTAGTCAAGTGACATTCATAAGTAAATCTAAAGGAACTAAGACATATGCAGTCTTCCTAAAGATGGTGGTATTTAAATGTTTATCAGCACTACCATCACCACCACCACCACCACCACCACCAGTGTTATAACTACCACCACCAGCATCCCTACCATTGCCAGAGTTACCACCACCTCCATCACCACCCCTCTATCACCAACACCACTACCACAACCACCACCCCCATCACCATCATCACCACCACCACCATCACAACTTGTTTGCTAGTTTTCTTCTAAGTCTCTACTGCTAGTAAGTGAATTTAAATATGTGAGCCTGTTATTCCATCCTGAAAATGTCAGTTTTGTTGAAAAGTGAGCTTTCAAAACTTTTTGACCAGATGTATTGATTTAACTTTTGTGCCCCAATATCTGATATTATCATATAAAATATTCAATATTTTGCTACAATTCAGGGCCTATGGGGAATATTTGCTCAGGCACAAATGGCTTGGAGGTCAACAGGCCCTTGCTGGCCTAAACCAGACTAAATGAGTGATCTGAGCATGCCGTATGGTACCTTCCCTAAATTGAGCCAACCTAGGTCTGCCAAAGGGCCCTAGCAACAGCTGCCTTGCCATGAGACAAGATGATCAGAACCAGTCTATAGACACAAGAGATCCTGATGCCAGTGCTGCTGCTTCCCCCTACCCCAGGAAGGTAGTGGCTTTTCCCTTCCTAAAATAAACTGAGCTTGCTACACTCAGCTAGTCTCTGGGAGTCTGTTTCCTTGACTCTCTTCCTATTCACCCCCTCCACCAAGGGAAGTTCAGTGGGACAAAGCAGCAGATCAAAGCAGCAAGGGCTAATAACAGAAATGATACTATCTTTATTTCTAGCCCGGTTTTCTTTTTCTAGGCATGCCTTAAAAGATAAATGATATTCTAGAACGTACCATCCATACCCCTACTGTTCAGTTATTGGTGCCACTTTCTTTTCTCCCCTTTATTGATCTAAGTCTAATCTTTTCTCATGACCCATAATCTGTTTACTATGATGTGATGTCTTCACTTGATCACTTGACCTCTTATTGGCTTGTTCACAATTTACTATGTTTTTTTGTTTCACAGTCATTTCTTCTCTTAAGTTTTCAAGTCCTATGGGAATTCAATTAAAGATAAATTATAAACTATAAAAGGTCATGGTAACTTGATAACAGCAGTGTGAATGGTACTATCCTAAAATGGTTAAGATGAAATACTATTCTCCCTGGAAAATGCAGTTTGGAGATGGGACTTTAGGGACATTATTAGTTGGGAGGCAGAGTTTTTATGTATGAGATTAGTGCTTTAAAAATGAAGTGCTTGTCCCCCCGGTAGGAGGATGCAGTGTCAGGAACTATCTAGGAACCCAAATCCACCTATCATAAGGGAACAGATTCTGGAATTAAATACATTTTTAAAAAAATAACCTATCCATTTTATGTTATTCTGTCATAGCAGGAAAACCAGACCACAACACTAATAATAATTAGGAGAAATTTTCAGAGGATCCAGTTGCTCAATAGCAAAATGAGAGAGGGACAGTAGGACAAGGAGCAGGAAGGGATGATGTCACATCTGGTTTACAGATCTCATTTTCACAGTTGGAGGAAGGCCTCTCAGTATTACTCCAGGGAGAAACTGTGGAAGCTATAGCTGGACTTACAGACTCAGATATTTGGGGCATCTTTTGAAAAATGTGCATGGTCAGAGTGCAAGCAGAAGAGCTGTTCTGAATTTTAAGGTAATAGTATTCTGTACTAGACACAGAGTCATGATCTATGTCCCTCACAATCAGCTCCTATAAAGTTATAAGTGTTCACTTAAACAAACTCTATCAATATTTGCTTGAAAATTAAGACAATCATGATATAGAAAAAATTTGGAAGTATTTTCCTTCATCAAAATTTAGATTCTATAAAAAGCCCAAAGATTATAATAAAGTATTTGTCTATATGAATAGATGAACTAGGTTTTGTCCTTTCTACTTTTGTCTTATCTGTTTCTACACTGTTCTAAGCCACTGTGCTTCTCACAGGGACAAATCACAGCTGTGACTTACTGAGGTGACAGAATCTCCCATAGCGCCCCAGATCACATATACAGGCACCATACACCCTGTGGCAATGGCCATTGTTGGCACAGTGACATTTCCTTTTGCAGTTCTTCCCAAAGAATCCTTTCAGGCATCCTGCAAGATATTCAGAAGAAGTAAATATTAGCTCACAGGCAGAAATTGCTACAATCTTTTTTTTTTTTTTTATAAAATACAAATTATGAGTGTCTACCCTATCTGAGAAGCTATAGACAGTTAATGGATTGAGGGAAAGACAGTCACTCCCCTTTAGGGGTTCAGCCAATGGTAGGTTATTCATGTCCAGCACATGACCACATGCTCATGCACATGTGGGCAACATTGAATGTATCTATAGGAAACAAGAAGTTGAGGGGAAGCGAGGACAGGATGCACTAAGAAAAGTTGGACCGAGATAGTGGTGGGTAGATATGATCAATAGACATTGTATAAATGTATGTAACTTTAAATTAAATCTTTTAAATAGAACTTCTTACAATGTATTTTCACCATCTCTTGCTACTGTTCCCCAATCCACCCTACTTCCCTTTATAACCAACTTTTTTTTTTCTTCTTTCTTTTTTAAAAACACATTAACTATAATTTGTGATGCTTATGGATTCTTGGATGTGACATCTTCCACCAGATTGTGGTAGATTTACAGGAGCCACACTCCTAAATAAAAATGATTCTACCAGCAGTTATTAATAGCTCCTCAACCAGGAGTGGGACTTCATGACTACCTCCTCTTTCCATACTGGAATTCACTGTGGCTTGAGCTTGTGCAGGTCTTGCACATGCTGTCTCAATTGCTTTGTGTACAGCCCAAGTGTAAGACAATCAACTAGCTGGTGAAATGTTTGGGGTACAAATATGAGGACTTGAGTTCATCGACCAGAGCAGTAGTTTGAAGTCAGTTTGGTTTACCTAATCAACTCCAGGCCAGCTAGGTCTATGTAGTGAGACTCTCTCTAAAATCAGACCAAACAAAAACCAAGACCTAATCTTAAAATCCAAGGTAAGTAGCATCCTCATCCTGAGGAAAGGCACTGGAGGTCTAATGCCCATACAAACCAGCACAATACACACAGGCACACATTATTACACAGGGGCAATGTGTCATTCTGGTTACATGGAGAGTGGTGTTTTGCATTTTTCAGATGCACATTAATAAATCTGCATCCTCTGCTTGAACTCCTACTATGACTCGTTAATGCTACAAACTAAAAACTCCACACTGAGCCCCTGAGCCACTGCACTAGCAGAGTTCCTGCTGCAGTGACAACTCCACACCCATATTTTTGCTGTTTGTTGTCTCTGAGTTCCATGGCACAGCACACAGTTTCCCATCTTGTTTAGGGATGCCATTCCCTCATGCTGGCTGCCTTACCTCATCTCTCTTATTTCTCTGTGAGTCTCTCCTTGTCATAATCTGAATTGTACCATGGACTTCCTTCCAACCATGCACCAGTATTTAATTTGCAACACTTATCAACATTTGTAATCTATGTATGTCAAATCAGACAAGCAGGTCACAACTTCCATAGGCAGGACCAAGTTTTTTCTTTTCCTTTCTTCTTTCTTTCTTTCTTTCTTTCTTTCTTTCTTTCTTTCTTTCTTTCTTTCTTTCTTTCTTTTTTCTCTTTTCAGTAACAAGGTCATCATTCCCAGCAGAGCTCATTGCAACCACTGTAATTTTTTTTAAACAAAAACAAATATTTTCCCCCCAAAAAAACAATTTGGATGGCACTCAGGAGCCTCCTTACACCCCAGAAAGGAAAGTAAATTTTATTTCTATGTTCCCATGGAATGTGGGAACCTAATGAACTTACCAATGAATTCTAGAAAACTCCTGGGTAATAGCATTTTAATTACCATTCTGTCTTCAACAATTTAACTCTGTGAAACCAATGGAGAAATTGTGTCCTTTTCATTAGTTTCCACAAAGAATCTATGCACACTTGTCACTGGCATTTTGTGAACTCTCCACCAGTGATTTCTCTTCTCCTGTTCTCTCTTACCCTCTCTCGCTCTCTGATTTTACCCCCTCCTACTTTTGCCATGTGGGCCTTACTCTTCTCTTTTTGTTCTGTAAATAATAATAATAATAATACTTTTTATTGAGAAGAAAATAAATTTCTTTTCTTGTATCAGGGTTCATCCTGCTTTCATCACAGCCAGCCAAGTATCTTTGTTACTGTTCTTTTGTTGTGAAGAGATGCTAAGACCAAAGCAACTATGAAATAAAAATTTAACTGGGGCTTGCTTAAAGTTTCAGAAGATAAGTTCATGACTATCATGGCTGGGATCATGATGGTAGGCCAGCAGACAAGATACTATAGCAGTAGCTGAAAGCTTACATCTTATCCTCAAGATGAAGGCATGGACTTTTGAAATCTCAAAATCCACCACCAGTGACATACATCCTCCAACAAAGCCATACCTCCTAATTCTTCCTAAATAGTCTACCAACTAGGGATTAAGCAATCAAATATATGAGTCTATGGGGTTCATTCTCTTTCAAACCATCAGAACAACTATTTATTTTTATTCTGTTGTGCTTGCCATTGTCAAAGCAACTACATTCTTGTCCATATTCATGCAGCCTTGAACTCTTCATTTCCATTCAAACCCCTACCCCATTCCCACCCCAAAATTAGCAGTGGTTCACCTTACTGACAGGGAATTCTTACCTTCTTCACAAATTTTCCCATAAACCCCTGGGGGGCATCGGCACTGCCCAGTCTGAGGATCACAGGTGCCTCCATTCTGACAATTGCAGGTGTCTCTGCACTCCCTTCTTTTGGTGTCTGTGGAACAAGCTGTGAGTAAATTAGGAAAGGTGAGTGTGCGACCCTGTCCATCACAACTGGGGCCAGAAGGAGAGGTGTCTTCTATCTGAATGGCTACAGAGTAATTAAGTTCTTAGTACCTTGCAGACCCACAGTAAACTCTGACTTAGTCCCAATTCCTATGATTTAATCACCCCAGGGGAATTCCAGATGATGCAGCTGGTTAAAATAATGATGACTTAAGGAAATGTTAACAAGGTTCAAATGCAAACCTGACCTTACTTCTTAAACTCTGTCGGTCCTGGCTTCAACACTACCCAGACACATTTGCTGAATAACTCTAATCAACCTTAATGAGAAACAAACTGCATCATTTACTCTAAAAAAATGTGGAGAAAACTCAGAGAAAAGATGTCATATTTTAAAACCAGCAATGAATGCAGCTAGAGTTCTCTTGGGGGCTCCCAAGGTATTTTGAAGGTTCAGAATTTGAAGAAATTAAGCAGATGAAAATATTTTCTGGTTTGTTGGTTCTTTTAAAAGTACTAGGTATTCAGAAATGTACACTGAAGAAATTGTGACCTTCTTTAGTGTGAACACATGTAACTCTTGAGATAATTTTATTAGCTATTTCAGTTGGTGTTTTACCATAAAATTTATTCTAAAGTTGCATTTAGAATGTCTCCTGCAGTGTCCTCCTACCAGTATATGAAACAGTTTCATATTTATCTTTTATTTTTTTCAATATGTTTATTGCTTGCTTTCCTCTCCTCTTCATCCCTTCTCTTTTTTCATTCAGACAAGGTCTAATGTATGCAAGATTGACCTTGTACTCAAAGTGGCTTTAAACTTCCAATCCCCCTTCCTCTACCTTTTAAGTGCTGGGATTATAGGCATGATTCAATAGTGTAGGGCCTTGCATGGACCTTGAGCAAGCCTGAGTTGTTATTGGTACTCTTTTTGTTTTGCTAAAACACATCTGCTGGGGAGGAGCTAAGCCTGAAAACAACTTGACCCTGTTGTTTTCCACAACTGTGGAAAACTGTGCTGTGAGTCTGTATATAAGCCTACTACTTCCCCTCAATAAATGGCATTCAGTATTTGGCATTCCTGTTGAACGAATGACCCACTGTCTTGTCTTTCATTTCAGTCTCTAGGCCTTCACCTGATTTGTGGAACAGATTGTAGCTTTGGTTTATGCAACGTTAGTATTGAACAGCTTTTTACATGCCAGGTAAGTACACTACCAACTGGGTTTACCCATTTTTTTTTTTTTATTTCAAGCCATAGGCTACTATAAAAGGGTGAGTAAGAGCAGAAGAGGGGAATAAAAGCCAAAAAGAATAAAGAGATTAGGGATGAAAATTTGTCAAGTCCTAGGTTGTTATTAATTTATGTGTAATATAACCGAATTTTTTCAGAATCTATATATAAGGGACAGTTTTTAAAAATGATGAAGAATTCTAAGTGGCTTCCCATAGTAGTTTTGTTATGGTATATCATTTAAACAGCTGATAAATGGGATTCTCTGGCCCCATCCCACAAAATAGAATATAAGCAATATAGGGATTTCCAAGATATATTATTAGCAAAATGTAGGATAAAGCTTAGAAGAGGAATTATTAGCAAGAGCATGTCCTAACACGGAACTGGAGGACGTGGAAGGCATCACAAGCTCTTCTGTCCATGGAGTAATACATGACTATGGGAGTCACTTCCCTTTCCTCTCCACTAAATAAACAATGCTCAATGATTTCAACATGTGATTTCAGTAAATGAGGTGTGCTTCTGAAAAACCCTGCTATTAAATAATGCACAGTGATATTTAATGCATTTTTCTTATAATATTTTAAACAAATTGCTGAGAAGTCTAAGTAGATGCTTTTATAGTAGACCCAAAAGGATACTAAGATAGTCATCTACTCAGTGAGGAGGTTAGGGTCATCTCTGTTATGATGAGATGTCATTCTGTAAATATGTTTCTTTTATTAGTTAATGAATAAAGCACTGTTGCCCAATAGGAAAACATGATAGGCAGGACTAGGGGATGAGGAGAGAGGATGGAGTAGGGAGGAGATTGCAGATGGAGGAGGGAGAGAGAATGCCAGCCCCTCTCTCTGGTAAGATAAGACCATGTGGAAATACTTAGATTGATAGAAATGGGTTACTATTTAAGACAGAGCTAGTCGATAAGAAACTAGTAACTGGCCAACAGAATTATGTCTAATTCAGCATTTCTGTGTATTAATTGGGGCTGGCACAACAATGGGACCAGACTGGCAGGGAAAAACCTACTCATAATATAATAGTGCCACAATATGGCTAATAAGAACTTCCACTTAAACTTAATAAAAGCTTAAGAAAGGGTTTTAGAAACAAAAGAACAGAGACAAGCAAGGCTTCTTGGTAGCAGCATTTTTTTTTTTTTTTTTTTTTTTTTTTTTTTTGGTTGTACTCTGTTTTGCTAGAGACAAGTAAAAATTTGTGCGGCTCCTTTAAGGGAGGTTTCGTGACTCAGCATAAGTGGCAAAAAACTGCAAGGCTTTTAAAGAGCTCTGCTAACAACTGAATGGTGTGTATGAGAGCTAGCAATGGCAGTGACCACATCTTCAATCCAGCAGCATGCTGCTGGATGGCAGAATATACCAAGGCAGTGAGCACAGCTCTCAGTTCTGGCAGTAAAGGTACCTGCTGCCATCTTGGATAGATCATGGCTAACACAGCTATGACTTTCATTTTAGCAATGCTGTTGTTTACCAGATAAAAGACTCGTGGCCAGAAAAAGATAAAGATTTACAGTAAAGACAGATTCACATTAAGAAAAACCTCTAAAGATTTACAGTGTGTTTTAAAATATATGTAGGCTTGGGAGAGAAAAAAAATAAAATGGTTTTAAAAAACAGAGTATCTGGGTGTGGTGGCACAGGCCTTTAATCCCAGCACTCAGGAGACAGAGGCAAGCAGATCTCTGTGATTTCAAAGTAAACCTGGTATACAGAGTTAATTCCAGGACAGATAAAAGACACTCTGTCTCAAAAAAGGAAAAAATAAAAGTAAAACAGAGTAAAAAAAAGAAAAGTTGCAGAAAGATAAAAAGCACAGAAAGAATCTGGATACTGTACGGTATTATATTGTCTTTGAATTGTTTGACTGCTGAGGAAATAACAACAACTGTTAAAGGAAATGATGCTGGATTAATTCAATTTATATATTTTAAAAATGCTTTGACTCCAAAATTTAAGTCCAAGGACAGGTTACTTGGAAAAAGGATTTCTATTTTTGTTTCCACAGATAATGAAAAGCTATGGATTCCTTCTAGACTAATGTGGTTTGATCAAGCCAGACCCCCTGAAACAATGTTCCAGGTGATCCAACATTCAAAACAGTTGGGACAAGGCAGCCTTGCAGACTACAGCCAGGATTTCTTCATCTTCTTAGGATCCCCATGACAGTGCCATCTATCAGCAGGAAGCAGTTTGGAAAGAATGACACCCAAATTCTCAAATATTGTCTGTTTGTTTTCATTTAAACAGGTTCAGTTATAAATGGTTAATGATCACAACCAATTCTCTTTAAAGATAAAAAGGGCATTATGGTATAGATATGAATACTTTGTTTTGGAATTGATTTTCATTTATTGATACAATTTAAGGTCAATTTTGTGATGTGTATATTTCTCCTCTTGTTTAGGTATTGTTTTATATAGCTCATTTAGAAATGTATTATATAAGTTAGTACAGATTATAGATAGTTACCTATAATAATTACAATTTATAGTTAAGTTAGGTTTTCTAGATATATAGAGATGTATTTGAGATGAATAGGCATTCTTCAAACCTTTCAAAGACCTACAGATTATGGTATTTAAAATGGTTTAGGGTTTTTCTTGACAATGAGGTACAACTGCTCCTGCCAACACCACCTGCGTCAAAAAGGAAGATGGACATCAACGAAACTTGTTATGTAGTTTGCTTTTAATATGGTAAGACTAGCCACTTGGACAAACACTGGACTGTTTGACTTTATGCTGTATAGACTGGACATGCAGGACCCACAGAAAAGTGACTGCTGATACAAGATGGACATTGCTATAGAATTCCTGCTTCATGGAAGAGTCTGCCTGACATTCTGCGGACACAGAGAAAAATGACTGACAAACTGCCAATACAGGTGGATAGTTTAGTTTCCTGCTTTGCTGAGGAGTCTGGCAGACACACTATGGCCTACAGGCTGAAGATAGAACATTACAGAAGAACTTCAGGTGACTGACCAGGCAGTGAGTCTGCAAGATTTTCTAGGTAAGAAGACATGGTCATCTTGTCTTTTTTTTAACATGTTGCTCACTTTAATCTCTCAGGGTAAGATTTGTATCAGTGATGTTTTCTCTGATGTTTCAGAAGTAGATCATTTATTTCTCATGCTGTCATGTCAAGGACCATGTGTTCAAGTCACACAAGAATATCAATGGACTTGCATGATAAAGCAAATATTCATATTGTAATAATCATGTGGTGACATTATATACATTTTATCCTTTGGAGTATGTGATTTTATGGGCTAATATAATTGGTGGTTTCCACCAAGATTTGTTCTGTCTATACTGATGTGGTTGGCACTGCAGTGTAGAGTAACTTACACAACAAATAAGAATGAATTGTACCTGACCAAGGGGAACACTCTCCAACAAAGAATATCAATACAGTCTAAGAGACAGTCCTTCACATCTATACAGTTTGAGAGAGGGTGATTCACATCTATACAATCTAAGAGAGAGAGAGTGCTTCATATTTATATAGTCTAACAGTGATTCACATCTATACAGACTAAGAGAGAGAGAGAGAGTGAGAGAGAGAACATCACTTTATATAGTCTAAGAGAGAGTGATTCACATCTATACCATCTTAGAGAAAGATTGTGTGTGCTTCACTCTATACCATTTAAGAGGAGAGTGTTTCACATGTATACAGTCTAAGAGAGAGTGTTTCACATCTACTAGGAAGACCTGTGCTTTCAGAGAATGTCACATGAATCTTTACATGACAGGCAAAAATGAATCTTCAGAGATCTTGGTGAAACAATAGCCACAGAACCAAAAAGTTCAGAATATAAAGTAGACAGCCAATTAAATTCCTAGAAATAGTCAATTTGGCAAAGACTATGACAAAAATTTAAATAAAAATAAGAGATTTATGATAATCTAATTCTGAATTGTTCCACGTGACTAAGTACGTATATTATGTACAGACATTGGGCTGTTAAAAAGGTTGAGAGCAGCAGAGAACATGATCACAGGGATTTTTGGGGACAGCCTGAATACCTAAAGGAGTCATGCTGGCCAAAAGATGTCACTGTGTCGGGACTTGGGTCCTGTGCCCATGGCACTCATTAGAACACATCTCTGCTCTTTTAAACTTGAATGCAGGGAGCTAAAAGGAAAAATCTGCTCACACCATCTTCTAGATAATCATGAAGGCACATATTTTTAAGTTTATGAGAAAGTTTAAAGAGGAAAAACTCGATGTATTTTATTTTATCACGTGGAAGTTTCAACTCTTTAAAAGCTGTCTTCATTTAAAACACAAATGAAATGATATTTGGATGGCATCATATTTAAATTTTTGATAGTTTCTCTTGAGAGATTTACATAAAAAGATGAAACTATCACCATTGGCTATGTTAATGTGATTTTTAAAAGGGAAAGGTAAAAAAACAGAAGCAAGCCCAGATAAAAATTTTCATTTTTGAAAAATTTAAGCACATTCACTGTACTTTGTAACACAAATGTTCCTGGCTTTTCCAGTGGGAATAGCTGGCCCAGTGCTGGTGATTTATTGAGTGCAAGGTTTTTATAAGACTGACCTTATTAGGAGTTTTATTAATTTCTATTCTGTGGGTTAGGGGGATTTGGAACATTACCTCTTCTCAAGAATATTAAATCTTTCCTTTCTGTAGTATATTCAATTTACAAATGCCAACATTCCCCCTCACTTTATTTACAACAAATGTGTTGGCTATCTCTGAGTGAATAGTTAATCAGTATATTTTAGGGTGCTTGTTTTTTTTTTTTTTTTGGAGAACTCACCCAAAGGAGCTTGCTGATCCCCAGTTGTTAAGGTGCTGCTTTCATTGCAAAGAATGCCATTCCAGCCTTCTGGGCAGAGGCACCCACTCTCTCCTTCCTGGCATCTACCTCCATTCATGCAGTCCTCACAGCTCAAGCTGCAGTCCAGACCAAAGGTGCCATCTAAACAGACTGTATGGGAAACCAGCTTAGTTGGCTTTTAAAAAGAGAAAGTTAATTTTTAATTCCCCAAAGAAAAGCAGATCAGGTGTCTGCCCCCACGCACAAAAAAAGCAAGCAAGCAAGCAAGCAAACAAACAGAAAAAAAAAAAAAAAAAAAAAAGGTCAAAGAGATTGTTTTCAACACAGGATATATTTTACTATGGACAGTTACAATATTAGATTATTTCCATTCCTTAAAGGGCTATAGGGAAGAAATATAAACCAGGGATATGACTGATTCTAAACACAGAAAAGACATAACACAGGATTTCTATTCTTTCCTTTTTACTTCTTTTATGCATCTGTTTTAAAGTAAATTTTTATTGAAATTTAACTATCATGTGTAATGATGCACATATCTCAAATATACCCACAATAGTTCCAGAAACTCAGATCAGGGTACAGCTCAGTACTTGTCACCTAAAATATCAATGTCATTAGGCTCAAAAATAAAACACTACCATAGTTTCTGACACCAGAGAGTTTTTTCCTGAACTTTTTTTATGAACAGAATTATAAAGTAAGTACATTTGCAGTCAGGTTTCTTTGTCAATACAACATGTGTAGTATTCTTCCACACTGTGTGCACAAACCTCTTTAATGTGTGTATAATATTCTATATCTTGCTGAAATGCAATCTATTTACTTCTTCATTCTCCTCTTGATGCAGATTATCTTAATATGAGTATCATTTTACCCAGTTGCTTACAGATGAGGATGGGCTTGTTTTGTTCTCATCTTGGTGTGTAGAGATAGGTGGATGTGGTGCCTTGCTACTGTGTGCAGGGCTGATTTCCACTTTGTGCACATCCATCACAGCTGTGCTACTGAGCACACTGCACCTGCCTCATTTCTTAACAGCTGTCTGTGGGATTGCATGGCACATCTCAAGACTGACAAATGATGGAAGGGGAGACAGCTGAGATGTAATTGGATTTCTCTCTTTCTAAATCTTGTTCAGATGGTTTCACTTAGTCTATGTTTGTTTCTCTCAACTACACTTGTTCTGATTTTGAATGGGCAAAGCAGAAATTTAATAAACATTTCATTATCCTACCTTTATGAAGAAGCATTTATAGATATGCTTATAAATTATCTATCATACAAATATGTTACTGCTAGTTTCTCTTTTATTTTTATTTATTTATTTAGGTGCATGTGTATGCATGTGTGTATATGTCATGGTACATGTGGTAAGGTCAGGGGACAACTGGGAGTGGATTACCTTTTTCCATTGTGTGGGTCACATTTTTCTAACATATGGGTCATAGATATTGAACTCAGAATGTCATTTATAGTAGCAAGTACTTTATTCACTGAACAAGCAACATATTCCTTTACTCCATACTCCCATTTCTACAAATACTTTTGTTATCTCTTTATTATATCAAATAAATGGAAGTCAAAAGGTGATAAATTTATAGGAATGAGGTATGCAAAAAATAAAGATTTTGGTTCCATAATTCTACTAGATCTTCTTTCTCAACATTTGATGACATTAGCTATTAATAATCAAATTACCTGGATAACATGCCTGAGTTATCTGATGATGAGCAGTGATGAACAAAGAAACAAGCACTTTACTCACCCACTCTCTTCAAGGCTGACAGCCCTTGGAACTCTCCTGCTGCTTCCTGGTCTTCTTCATAACTGTTTTCATCTTCATATGAAGTGGTCAGAGAAGGAGCATGATAAGGGAATGGCTGAGGGGAGCTTTGAACCAAAAGACCTGGAAACCTCAGGATGTCTAGTACTTCTTCTTCCTCCTCCAACTGCTCATCATCTAAAGCTCAGACCAGAGAGGAAGAGACTGTTTTTTTAACCCTGTGGATAGAAGGAGGGAAAAGCAACCAAGCATTGGCAGATAGTGTGAGTCTGAACCAGACAGCCAAGCAGGGACGAAGAGCTCTGAGCAGGCTCTTCAGAGGCCCATTGTACCAGCAGCCAGATGCTGCTGGCATGGAATTCAATTACAGTAGGCAGCATACAAGGGGAATAAAGTAAAGCTAGATAGGGAGAGGAGGAGGAAGTAAAAAGAAGAAGAAGGGGCTGGGGAGACAAGGAAGAAATGTGAGAGCGAATGGGAAGAAGGAATGGAGAGAGGGTAGAAGGTAGAGTGAGGGTCAGAGACCTGAAGGAGGGAAGCAGTGAGTGTGGTGAAGTCTCCCTCTCCAGCACCCTGAAGAGCTGGACATGGAGGTAATTTAGGAGATTCAGAACAATCCCTTGGTACTGACAGAGACAGGTCCTTCCATCACTTGCAATTCGGTATCCTTCTTCGCAGGCACAGTCATATGTTCCCACGGAGTTGATGCACAGCTGGCCACAGTCCATACTGTCATCCAGGCACTCATCCACATCTAGGGAAAGAGAGTTAAGCAGCATCTGCCCTTTGCTGCACTACACGACCTTCCATAACTAGCAGTATCATCCTGCCACACAGAAAGCAAGCATAGCCCCTCAATATCAGGTATTACCTACCTAGTGACTTGCTTCATTCATTTGCAAGTTTACTGAAGACTGGCCACATAGACCAGGGGTTTCTGATACCTCCTTTGTGTAGCTTGGATGAAGAATACAAAGCTTAAATTCAATGGATCCAAGCTGTGCCTTATTGCCTTATTCTGCAGAAATGTACTAAGTTTTCAGCTTAATTATGTGAGTGGACACTGATTTTTGCATAATTCCATGCAGTGTCTGTGGAGAACTTTCGACATGGAAGAGTGTTATCCTTATCAGATTTATGACTGAATCGGACTTTATATTCAGTCAGTGTGCTAGATACATGGAAAGTCCCAGAGTGAAGCCACACTTCAGCTTTATCTCAGATGATGCACACCTTATCCCTGTGGATACACACACGTTTGTGCATTTGTGCCATGCAATTGTATCTTGGCTCACTCCTCTTAGGAGCAGATGGGGCATAAAATGCAGCTTTTGTTGGCTCTGTTAATTGGATGGAAATGGCAAATGGTAATATACTCTGCTGTGTTTAGTGTATATAGATAGCACACTGTTTTTCTTCGATATATACTGAAGGGATGGCTTGTAGTATTTTGAAGCCTGGCTACCATCAGAATTCAGGATTTGTTTCTTTAAACAATGACACTCTACTTTCTCTGAGACATTAATGTCATATATTTGACTGGATACTGGAGTACTTAGTAATATTATGAATTTTGTACAGATTTCAAGCAAATGTGTTCTTAATAATAATAATTTCAAAATAAAAAATCAATTATATATTTAGGGTAATTTTGTTTTAAATTATTTTAAGTAAGCATACTAAGCAACTGATTATACTACAGCATGTTTATACAATTATGCCATTCAATTTTATCCTCATCTTATCTTCCCCCATTGCCCTATCCTACCCTTTGTCCTAACTTTTAATCCCTTCCTCCCCTATAGTCTGCCCTTCTATGTTGATGTCATTTGTATCGCATCATACTCTCTAGCCCTGGCCACCTATCATATGTTCCTTCTCCCTTTCTTTCTCCTTTCTACTTTCATGGCACAAACAGATTAAAGTTGTGATTATGAACATGAAAGAAAATGTGCTAAATGTCTTTGTGGATCAGATTCATCTCATTTAATATAAATGACCTCTAGTTCTATTTGTGAGTAATGAAGCAATAATAATGGATGTGTGGCATGTTGATCTCACCTTTCCATTTTATACAGAGTGGCGGGACTCCATTATATGGCAGATATAATTGTAGAGTTTTGAGAATCCTCCTTCATGACTTCTAGAAGTACAAATTTGCCTTCTCACCAGATGCATGAGATTTCCTCTTTCCCCATGTTCTCTCTACTATTTTTAATGACAACCACACAACTTAGATGATATAGAAGTTAAAAGTAGTTTCAATGTGCATTTCCTTGGTGGCTAAGCATGTTGAACACTTTTTCAAATATTTATGCCATTTGTTTTCCTTCTTTTTGAAAACTAATAAAGTAGTATGTTTTTATCTATGTACTAAAGGAAATCTTTATTTTTTTTAATTTGGAGGTATTTATATATTGTAGCTATTAATCCACTCTGTGATGTGTGGATGGCAAAATCATTGTTCTGGTGATTCTTTTCCTGTAAAGAAGCATTTTTTAGTTATAGTTACTTGTAATCTAATTTATAGATTATTGGGATTTTTCTATTGATACTGAAGTCCACTGAAGAAATTTCAAAGTGTTTTAGTCATTGTTTTTCTAGCAGTTCTAATCTTCATGTGTCACATTAAGATCTTTGGCCCATTTTGTATTGATTTATGTACAGGTGGATATCCAATTTTCACAGCATTGGTTTAAGAGTCCTTCCCCCAACTCCTGTAACCTCAGTGATAGATGGTACAGCTGTATCCTGGGAGCTCACTTGACAATCTGTCCAGCTGGTAAGCTCCTGGTTCATTGACAGACCCTGTCTCAAAAACATGTTGGATATGCACTTAAGAGAGACACCAACATCAATCTCTAGCCTCTAGATGTACCCATATGAGTGACTGAATCCACATCCTTACACACACTGCACACACACACACGCACACACACACACACCCAGAGATAGATAGAGACAGACAGACAGGGACAGAGAGAGAGAGAGAGAGAGAGAGAGAGAGAGAGAGAGAGAGAGAGAGTATGCATTGCTCAATCTTCAGACACCAGATGTTTATATAGTTTCTGAAGGAAGACACTTTCAATTAGGAAAGCAAAGGAATGAATGGGTTTCCTAAGAGGAGTAAATCATCAAACAATAGCTAGGAAGGAATCTATTATGTTCATCACAATAAGCAGAAAACTTCTAATAGTAATAGAGGAGAAAAAGAAAAAAAAAAAAAAAGAACAAACAATAATCCAACTAACACCAATCGAACAATAATTGGTAGTATCTCTAATAGTAAACTTGAATGCAGATGGCTTCAACTAAAAAAGAAGTTGCTGAATGATTGACTGTATTAAGTTCAAACTGTCTGCTTTTCTCCAAGAGACATGTGTGCTGTACAACAGTTTCCTCCAGGACTGAAACATACCATTCAGAAGGGAAGCTCCTTAAGCAGGAAGGAACACAACCCAAAAATAGCTTCAGGAAGTCCCTGAAATGGACCAAGTTCACAAGTCTCCACCCTGCCAGAGTAAGCAATGAAATCTGAGAGTCCCACTCAGAGGAGTAGAGCTGAACTGTGGAAAAGACTATACCCAGAAGAAGCTATCTAGAAGAGGTTTAGATCATCCACACACATTTGGAAAGGGAACTATCCAACCTGTTGAACAGCCAGTGAGCTGTTCATTGTGCTTCTGGTTTCTTAGCTTTTATGAGCTGTCACCATGTTGAGGTGGACTTTGATGATGCATCTGTGTTTGAGTCATTCCTGCTCCTGTATAATCCCTTACCCATATTCCTGTATGTAACCTCAATAAAACTCATGGTTCACAAAGTTCGACTTTGGTGGTCTCTGTTCTTTAGTCTGTCATGAGCTCCTTATCTGGGGAGTAGATGTGTGTGTAGTGTCTCTCCAGGAAAACTCTTGTCACACAATACTACCTCAGTGGCATTAACACATCTAAGAATCTAAGGACAGAATTCAATTTATGAAGTAAATGAAAGCCAGAAACAAGTTAGCATAGCTATTCTGAGATCTGATAAATCCTAATATATTAATAAGAGAACAATTCAGCAAGAAAACATAATAACTATGAATATGTATGCACCAAACATTGCAGCTCCCAATGTCATAAAGCAAAACTAATAAGAATTTAAAACTGACTTAAGTCCTGATACAGTGATACCATTCAACCTTAGTATACTGATCATATCTTTAGATAGGTTATACAAACTAAATATGGACAGAGAAACTTCAGAGTTAAACTGTAATATGGATCAAATGGACTTAACAGAATATTTGATTCAACAGATGTGGAATAAAAATTCTGAGCAGTCCATAGAATTTCTCCAAAATAGGTCACAGTGTATGCCACAAAGTAAATTTTCTTTTTTATTTTTCAAAACAGGATTTCTCTGTATTGCTTTGAAGCCTGTCTTAGAAATAGCTCTGTAGATCAGGCTGTCTGTCCTTGAACTCACAGAGATCCATCTGCCTCTGCTTCCCAAGTGCTGGATTAAAGGTGTGTGCCACCACCATAGGGCACAAAATAATTCTTAACAATCACAAAGTAACTGAAATACATTATCAACCACCACCATATCACAGTTGAATAAAACTAGAGAGCAATAGCAAGAGAAACTATCAGTAGATAGCACACAAATAATTGGGAAACAAAAAGTCCACTGTGACTTTTTGAAGGAAACTATAGGATGATGTAAAAATATACAGAAACCCCCCCTTTCTCTGTTTCTTTCTCTGTCTCTGTCTCTCTCTCTATCTCTTTCTCTCTGTGGTATACATGAATGTATGTGTCCAGATCTGTGTGTGTTTATGTGCATGAAGGCTGAGAAGCAACATCAGTGCTTTCTTCAATCACTAGCCCACCTTATAGTTTTACACAAGGGATTTTACTGAACCTCATCAGTCAAGCTGAGTGAGTTTGTGACCAAGGGATAAATATCCTTTGATTTTTTTTTATGTGGATGCTGGGACATCGTTAACTAGTTATACTTACTATTTTTGGATTCCCTTTACCAAAAAATAAATGTCTACAGAGAAACTAGAAGACTGCAAGATAGCACATTAATATTAGCTATATGAGGAATGCTGCTGCAGGTTTTCACTTATGACAAGATAATTTTTAAATTTTTTTTGTCTTGAAAATGATTTTTAGCAACCAACTCTATAATTGTGGTCCAGTATGTAAAGATAATTCCATTAGCAGTATGTTCCACACCTACAAATGCCCCCTCCCAATACATACATTTGCAAAGTGTATGGACCAATGAACATCATACTAACCATGGCTGCCCTTGTTGGAGTGTTTATCTAGGCCAAACATCATGCTAGTACTTTACCATTATTATAAATGGCCTTTAATTTATTCCCTAGCTCTATTGCTGTCTTTATTTCACTGACAAAGATCTCAGGTTTTTCACAGAGCCACCAAAGTATGTATGCTGTCACACGGTGCAAACACACAGAAATCCACGTTTCTTTAGTATGAAAGACACCCATTTCCAAGCTCCTGGCCCCATGATTGCACATCCCAATCAGTCCTTCACAAGATCTCAGGAATTTACCATCACATCCACAACCATCCAAACTGATCTGAAAGCCTTCCTGACAGCTGCATTCGTAGCCTCCTGAATAGTTGATGCAGAGCTGGGCACAGCAGGCATCTCCGCTCTCACATTCATCAAAGTCTGAAGGGCAAAGAACATTTGCATTACTCCAGGAAGCAGAATTCAAGGAAACTGCAGAAGCTCTGAGAGGCTTCATTCCTTTCCCACTTCTCAGGTCACATAATACCCACATTCAAGAAACTATCATACAAAAATAAGATCATCTTCTTTTGATTAAGTATCTTGCATGCTCCTTGTGTGTCTGTTATTTAATATAAAATAATGCAAATAATCTTTACATGCATTTACAAGAATAGGAAAATAAATCCCTGCTATTCTTCATCCATTTTGAAAAGCAATCTGATTGGATAAACAGAACTTGAGAGAAAAAAAAAAAAAAAGACAGAATTGAGAATGAAGAGCCACAGCATTCCATTTAACTGACGTTTGATAGTTGCAGAAAAGACAGTTCCAGACTTCACAATGTGCTTCTTCTTGGAGACCTTACATCAAAGAGTCTTCCCAAGTAAACATTCTCCTGGTACTCAACTATGGGAAGGAGTGGAAACTGCATTTCTGTGAGAAGGAAGGAGGCACCCTTACTTCACATATTTTGTATTAAGTTCTGGAGTATTCCAGAGTATTCGTTTAAATGTGCATGGAGTGGGGTGAGCAGTTGTTTATATAGCACTGTCATTCTAGAGTCTTACAATCTTGAATGTTTGTTCTTAAGACACAGCTGGTCTGGGAAAATCGAAAAGCTTCTCAGTTGTCAATGAAATCATTTAGACCAATAGCAATCTACTTGGCCTGAGGTTTGAAGGGTCGTTTGGAGCATAAGAGTGAAAGGGTGCAGTGAACACTCACTACTTCCCTCCACTCTGGGCAAGCCAGGATTACATGATGAAGGTGTTGCCTTTCTGCCCCTGGCTCAATTCTAGCCTCTGTGTATTGAGTTGTTAGGCTGAGTGGCTGTCACTGCTGAGTTTACAGAATCCTATTGCTCCAGGACTACATGAGCGACCACAGGTACAAAGAGGTCAATGTCTCAATTAACCTTAGTAGAGTCAGTAGACTCAAGGAAATGAAGACAAGAGACAGGAAGGAAAAGAAATGCAATCAGTCAGTCAAGGTGAGCGGTCAACATAAACTATCTAAATGAAGGTCATCTGGGCACTATGCATTCTTTTCCTGCAAAATGTCACAACGAACACCACTCAGAAGATAACAGATATTAGTTTTGTCATATTAAGCCTTTCTCTACCTTTAGATTAAACAAGGTGAATACCGAAGATTAAGAAAAAGATAAAAACATTTTTATTCCATTTAAACAATAGTCTTTGAGTTTTTAAAATTTTAGATATTTTTCTTTGATTTTTGATTTTAAAACAGCCTTCTTACCAACAAAGCCTCCAAACATACAGCTCTCAGTTAACAGGGGGCTACATAGATGCTACATACAATCTAAAAATATGTCACTTGTTCTGATTGTTATTATGTGTTAAATTCGGATTATTCAGCCATTTTCATTCCTTCAGGGAAATTTCTTACCTTGCACACTGTCTTCAGTTCAAAAGTTCAGCAGAAACGTAGCTTTTCTATGATAGAAGATATATGTGCATGTGGGGGGCATACATATACACCATGTGTGTGCATGGGGGTACACAGGCATGCCCTGTGTATGTGGGCACACATACATTAAGTGGTCATATGGGCGTGCACATGCATGTCATATGGGGGAGTGTACATGTATCACTGGTCAAGTCATGTGGGGTAATGTACATGCATAACATGTGGGTAGGTTCACCTGCATGTTGTATGTGTAGGGGATACACATAGACCATGGTCTTCCTCAATGCTTTCTCCACTTTATGTTTTGAGAAAGGGTCTCTTAATCACTAGATCAACTGGTTAGCAAGTGAAGGGTATTCTCTTGTCTCCACCTCTGAGTTCTGAGAGTACAGGGTAAGCCTTTTATGTGGGTGTTGGGGAACTGAATTGAGGTTTTCACACTTACAGATCAAGTGTTTTCTAGAAAACACTGTCACTTCAACCTTTATACCAGCTACTTTCTACATTTCTTTTCATATCCTTGATGAAATTGTTGCTTGTCTGTGTTCCTCTTTTGATCATACCTTATGGCTTTTGGCTACTGTGCAGAATGCAACATAACTACAGGGGGAACTCAACCAAACAGGAAAATCTAGCCCCCAAACTGGAAGACTCATGGTATTGAGGTGAAACTTCTTAACCACTCATCCCTGAAAAGAGTCAGAGCCAAACACTCCATCCTATGTACATAGTCAATGAAGAAAATTTACAAATACTTCTCTGTATCTAGCAGTTTGGTAAGCTTAAAATTCCTCACCATGACCATACAACTGTCCCTCCAATGACACTTTACCCCTTTCTGTAGGTTCAGGACTAGGCTTCTGCATTTTGGCAAGGCTGACCAATGGTATGCTAGCTGGATTGTTTTCCTCTTGTCTTGTACATTCCCATCTTTAGAAAATACCCAATAGTAACATATGGTATAATCCATGGCTGGTTTTACAAAGCAACAGGCAACAAGAAAGATAACCTCATGGTCTATGTAAATCATTATTTTTGCTCTAGTGAATATCTGGTTTTCAGAAATAGGCATTTTTATTATTGAAAAAGGAAACAAATGGACCATAAGCAGTGTAACATTGCCTTGTTGACTACTGAAATCTCACAAATAGCAATTATTTTGCATTCTGACACTAGCAGATGCTATATTTTTCTAGTTATACCTAAGAAATTTCCTGAATTATATTTATCAAAGACTAAAGACATCAATGTTTAAAATAACATAAGAATAACATTAATAAAGATATAAATGATATGACTCTTCAGTTTTCTTCACTTAGTATTCACGAAAAACAAAATAAGTATGGAAAAAGAAAAAGAAAGGAAAGAAGGAAGGAGGAAGAGAGGGAGGAAGAGAACCATTAATTTCCTTTACTAATTTTAATCTTAATGAAAAATGAGCATAGTTTTCATTACAAGGGAAAACAATCGGTTTTGATATCTTGGGCCCTGTATACTCATAGCAGTGTAGAAGAGGTACCTCTGGGTCAAGAAACACATGCAATGGCTTTGGTTAGGCTTAAATAGCTTTGTGATACCAGAATACCTCAAATTCCATGATATCATTCTCTCATAACACCCAAGTACAAGACAAAATAACCAAACCTGGTTCTTACATCACCTCTCCATTACTGCTATCTCCTATCATATTGGGTAGCATACAGTGAAAATGAAACTTTCCAGCATTCATATTATCACTTTAAAGAAGGAGAACACACGTCATCATTAAAAAAAATAAGCAAATAGAGTGCTTCCATTTTTAGAACGAAGACATTGCTATTTGCTATTTGGAGGCTTGGAATGTTTCAGAAGCAGAATACAGTAGTGCCGCTTTATACCGGCTCCCTTGCTTCCTAGCAGAGAAACACCGGGGGGATTGCCATTCGGCATTTCTTTATGAGGGGAGGCTGAGTTGGGATTATTCTTCTCATTGTTGCTTGTTGCAAATCATATAAGTGATAATCATTATAAATAATTAATGTCTGGCACCAATGATGTTAATTCTAGTAAGGTGTTGTGAAAGCTGCCCATTAAAAATGGGGTTAGGGGCAGAAGAGATAGCTTAGTAGTTAAGAAGATGTGTTGCTCTTGTAGTGGACCCAAGATACATTTACATCACCCAACACAAGCAGCTTACAATCACCAGAAACTCTAAGTCCAGGGGATTTGAAACTCTCTTCTAGACTTAGTGGCCACCTGCACTCACATGTACACATACCCATGCACAAACACACAAATATCCTTAATTCAGAAAGTGGGTGTGACCTGATGTCCGAGAATGATTATCTTTTAAACTTTTCTTTTGGTAAAAGCTACTATAGCATTAGTTTAATATTCATCTGTTTCATTACCAAACTGAAAACCAAGGAATGTGATTTCATTTATGTTTGATGTAGGAAGACTTGGGGCAGACAGTTGTATCTATTGTAAACATACAAATTTGTCAGTTTAGGTAGACCTTAGAATATTTTTTCTGAAACAAAACAATAATTCTTATTCACATAGAATTAATACCTGTATATCTCATTAAAAAGTGTTTCTATCTCCTTAATTTGAAGGTAAATACCCAAGTTTAGTGATGTCTTCGCTATGTATCAGTGGTCAGAGACAGGTTAATGCAGCTCTCTTCAGGCTGAGGGTCGTGATTAACACTGTAGCAATGTATATTAACATGAAAGTGCTAAACAAGTCCAGAAAACTTTGAATGAAGATGGCATTTATCAAACATTACCTATGCATGTTTTCTCATCTGTATCGAGCTGATGTCCATGGTTACAGGAACAATGGGGTCCACCAATTGCAGGTTCACAGTGATGAGAACAACCACCATTGTTCTTTTCACAGATATTTACAATTTCTAATTCAATTCCTTTTCAAAACAAGCAAAAGAGGTTCGTTAGCATAACAATAGAGAAAATAGTGTACATAGTAACAATGGACATGCTTTATCTTTTGAGAGGATGACATGCTCTATTGGTAATATGTCAATATTTTACACATATAAAAGTAAAATACTAAGGTGTGTCTTCTTGACTATTATCCATGCCTATACTGTGTTGAACTACTAAGTGATAAGAAGTAATAATAAATTAGGTAATAAAAGCATAAGAAAAACAATGAAGGGTCAATCAGTGGCTACTAAATACTTTAAAAGACATTTTCTTTAGGAAATACACTGTGTGTGTGTGTGTGTGTGTGTGTGTGTGTGTGTGTGTGTGTGTGTATGTATTTAAAACTTATGATTGTTCTTTTCAGTTCCTTGTAGGTTCAAGAAACTACTGTCAAAAGTAACTTGGGGTTAAAAAGATATTAAACCAATGTGATGGCTGATATGAAAGTAGCATCATGTGAGAGTGCTTTGATGCATACAAAACACACTTATCACATTAGCATACTATTATTTTGGAAACATGTCACCATCCCTGGCATATGCTAGTAAATTGGGCATATTGGTGAGCATCAGGCTCAGCATATGAATGTTGACTGTCCTGAGTGTGCAGACATTGGAGCCTCTGGTTTTCTAAATGAAGACACAAGAAGTAATGGAATGCTTGACTCTGGGTTTAAAGTGTAAAATTTCAATGTTCTGGCCTCTGTTTACTTTGTCATTCCCATTACTCTTTGTGTGTGCTGCCACTCTGTTCTCATTGACTTACACAAATTGGCTTGTTTACTTATCCCTTGGAAGAAGAATATGAAAAAGATCAGGGCAAATGTACCTGCGATTGTGGCACTTCTTGTGGGCGTGTTTCATCCTTGACCCTGTGTGGAGAACCTGTCATCTCCAAGATTGTGCCTCCTGCTGCAGCACACAGCAGCAGCACACTGCAGGTCCCTGTCACTCTGACCCCACTGTGCCTTCTTCATTTTCCCAAAGATTGGTGAAATAAACGAATATTATGCTAATCAACTTACTGTTAAAAGAAAGACTCTCTGGACTGGGAAAACCAGCATGCATAAAGGACTGAAGGGCAAAGTGCTTTTTATGTATATGCTAATACAGAACACTGGACACAGACCTGAGCTGCTTCTCAGGTTTGCCACTGTCACCCATGGAAAGAAGTATTTAAACCATGGCTGGTATCTTCTAATCCATCAAGATAGCCCCCCACTAGTTTCTAGCACAACCTAAGTAGATTCATGTAGAATCACCCTTCAGTAATAAGTAGAGCACTGCTGTTATCAGTAGCCAGGTCTCTCAGGACACTTTGATTCTACCCACACAGATTTATTGCATTTAGCTGAAGTTCAGACAGATACTCATTGAAATTTTTTAATGCTAAAATTCCAGTTCAATGAAATTATTATGTATCCAAGACCCAGCTATATCACTTTTGGGCATAAACCTATGGGATGCTCAATCATACCATATTTGTTCAACCATGTACATAGCAGCTTTATTTGTAATAGAAACTGGAAACAACTTAGATGTCCTCCAACCAAAGAGTGGTTAAAGAAAATAAGGTACATTTACATAACAGAGTATTAGTCATCTGTTAAAAACAATGACACCAGAAAATTTAAAGCTAAATTGATGGACCTAGAAAATCTCATCCCGAGTCAGATAACCCAGACTGAGAAAGACAAACATGGTATACACTCACTCATAAATGGATATTAGTTGTAAAATAAGAGATAATTATGCTACAATGCACAGACTCAGAGAGAGAGACTAGACAACAAGGAAGTTTCATAGGAGGGCACACAATCTCCCTGGAGGAGGAAACAGAAGAGATTTCATGAGTGGACTGAGGGCAGGTGGGGATGGGAAAATGAGTGATCAGATTAGGGGAGAAAGGAGAGGGACATTACTGAAAGGTACTATAGGAAAGGGAGGCATTTAGGGATCAAGAAAATCTTGATGCAAGGGGATCTCCCAGAAATCTATACGGATGAATCCAGCTAAGACTCATAGCAATAATGGATAAGTAGCTTTAACTGGCCATCTCCTGTGACCAGATTGGTGCCCAGCTCAATTGTCATCAGAGAGGTTTCATCCAGCAAATGCAGACCCAGAGCCAGACATTAGTTGGAGTTCAGGAAATCTTGCAGAAGAGTGGAAGAAAGAATTGTAGGAGTCAGAGTGGTCGAGAACATCACAAGCAAACCCATAGAATCAACTAATCTTGGCTCACAGAGACTGAACCAACAACCAGGCAGCCTGCATGAGACTGACCTAAGTCCTTTATATATATGTGAGAGTTGAGTTATTGTTCTCCCTGTGGGACTCCTAACAGTGGGAACAGGGATTGTCTCTGACTCTTTTACTGGCTTTTGGGGGCTCTGTTCCTTATACTAGGTGGCCTTGCTCATCCTTAATACAAGTGGAGGTGTTTAATCTCACTGTAACTTGATATGCCATGCTTTGTTGATATACATGGGAGACCTTCCCTTTTCTGAAAAAAAGGAAGGAGAATGGATTGGGGAACAGGAAGATGGGAGATTGTTGGGAGGGTCTGGGAGTAGAGGAGAGAGAGGTAGCTGTAGCCAGATTGTAAAATAAATAAATGTATTCAAAGAAAGAAATTATTATGTGTCTTTATCCAATTTCTAAACCACATACAGGGACTTAAAAATATTGTTAAGATTTTCTTAACTGATTAAAAATATGAGGTTCAGAAACAAGCAGAAACAACAAAAATACTTTGTCCCATGTAATAGAAGTTCATAAACTGATGAATTTTCTGATCAGAGATGATGTCTATTTAGTACCACCCACAAGGCAAAAATAATTTGACTAAAGCTTAAATTTAAATTTATCAATGTTCTAACATCTCTCTTCATGAAGTACCGCCAAATCTGAACATGACTCCTTTTATTAGATGGATGAATAATAAACCAGCTTTGTTATGTCCATTCAGCTAAACAGCACTCAATAAGGAAGAGCCAACTCCTCAGGAAGTGGCACCTTGCCTGGATCTCAATGCCATTATGTTTTGCTCGAGGAAAGTTTCTGCAGGGTGGAACATATTTATCCAGCATCCTAATTCCAGGGATGGAGAGCAGGTCAGTAACTTTCAAGTGTCAGTGATAAGTAGGAATATTGGACAAGCAAGTATAACCCAAAAGTGTTTTCTAGAGTGACTAAGTTACTTCATCCTGGTTCCAAGGGTTTCCCAAAACTTCACATGTTGCCACTAATAAAGAGAATTAAAGAACAGTTGATTTCATTGCCTGTTAACTCTTAAAAACACAGGAGCCTCCAGGTCTCACTTTCTTCTCCAGCAACTGTCACATAGGTTCCTGGTCCCTGTTCGTTCCACCCACTCTCCAGGCTCTTATAATCTCTTCTGAATATTTAATATTGTTCCTCCTTGACTGTGGTCCCCAATCTGATTTTTCCCTTTATTCCTCTAGCTGCCCTCTCTTTCCATATGAACTCAGTATTATTCACAGCTTATGCTTCACTTCCCTGATCTTATTAATAACTACATTATTATTTTTTCTACTTAGAAAATGGGTAGAAACTTCTGACTTGTGTTTCCACATGTGTCACCAAAGTTCATACAACAAAGACAAAACTGGTGACTTTTGAATTTGCTCCCTGTCTCTCTGTCTTTTCCCCTTAGATCCCTACCTACACTTTGACAACATCCTTTAGTACTCTCCAGATTGGCGAGGCTTGAGACTATGAATTTTTCTTGATCTTCTTTTTATTGCACACTGAGAATACTTGGATAGTATATCCAAACCTGTCTTTGCCATCTCCAGTGTACTCCCTGACTGTACCATACAACCATGGCTCATCTGAGGACTCACTTTGCCTTCACATAGACTCACTATATGTTCCTTACAGAACTCTCTCTCTCTCTCTCTCTCTCTCTCTCTCTCTCTCTCTCTCTCTCTGTGTGTGTGTGTGTGTGTGTAGCTTATCTGTGCACAGGCATGTGTGTAGGCATGTGTAAAGGCCAGAGATTGACCTTGGATGTCATCTTAATTTTCCTCTATATAATTTTCTGAAACAGGTTCTCTTACTCAATCTCAAGCCACCAATTTGACAAGACACACTGGCCAGTGAGGCCCATGGAGCCTTCTATCTCTGTCCAGTACTGGAATTACAAGTGTTCAGAGCCAGATATGGATTTTTTACTTGGTTTTGGATATTTAAACTGAGGTCATTGTGTTTTCATGGCAAGCACTTTACTCCCTGAGCCACTACACAAGTCTTTGTACAAAACTTTGTACCTTCACATCACATCTGGAATCAAATCATAACACCTCTTAGGGTTCTGGGGTCTGCATGATGTAACACTTCCCTCTATTGTCTTGGAATTTCATTCCATATGCCCTTGGTCACTCTTTCCAGTTCAGACTGGCTGCTTAGCTGATCCCCCAAACCAGCTGGGTCAGCCTCCCCTAAAGCTGTACTTCTTACTATTCTGTTTTCCTTCATCTTTATCTTCTCTGCAGTGTAAAACTTCTATTTCCCTTACCTTAGCTGGGCAGTTTTGGGGTTTTATTTTTCATTTGGATTTAGCGTGTGTGTGTGTGTGGTAAGGAGAGAGAATGAGTGAGCTGTAGATCTATAGATATGAGATCCATTTCTCAACATCAGACTCATTTGCAGTACATACCTTCTTTTGACAGGAAGCCTGAAGGTAATATTATTCAATGGTTTTAGTGCACATCCATAGTTTATTAGAATCTACACAGGGTTTGGAGCATTTCAGAATTTATATTTTTTCAGTTACCAAGAGGCAGCCTGCATCATCACTGAGGGACATGACCCTCAGATGTCTTTGATGAGTCTTTTGTTTTTATCTCTTCTCTATGAATTTGCTACTATCTACATATTCAGGTCCAGAGACCCAGCTCTTTCCTCTACTTCCTTGTGCACTGAACACACATACAGATGTTCAGGTAAACACTCATACAAAGTAAACAAATCTGTAATCTTAAATGACTCAATAGCTCTACACACAGGCAAAGCCGTGGTTCATTCTGGCACCCCCTGTCAGAGACAAGGAAAAGCTGGCCTGAATGTAAGCTCCATCTCAGCAGTGGCCTTACAAACCTCACTTTCTGCCTGCCACCAGCTTTACAAGTCCATCATTGCCAATGTCTTGTGGGCAGCAACAGTTTGAATTCCCATTTTTAGGTCATTGGAAGCTATAATTAATTCTCCAACACTCATCAACTTTTAAGGGAACCCACAAGGAAGAATGTGTTTGATGAGTTCTGTGTACTCTTCCCATTATTGCTAGGTACCTGTGGTGCTGCAAGAATATGGCTGTGTGTACTGGCAGTTCTTTAAGTCATATATACCTGATGTTATAGTACTCTCATTCAAATGCACAGGGTGATGCACTCCTACATAGAAGCACTGGAGAGGCAGCGCCAGGAGGCCTGACAGCCCGGGATACACAGCACGTTTGAGACTAGCCAGGGCTATAGAAAAGTAACACAAACAACCTCACATCTAAAATTGGCCACTAGAAGTCAGCTGATGCTCTGGGTTCTTGACCTGGATGATTTACAATGAGCTTCTTTCATAGTATATAAAAATCACACAGGGGCCACAGATATGGCTCAATGGTAAAGGAGTGTCAGCCAGGCCTAACTACCTGAGTTGATTCCTAAGAGTCATGTTTCAGAATGAAAAATCAGACTTCTTAAAGTTGTACTCTGATCTCTACAAAATTGCTGTGGCTGGTGTGCTCACACGCATGAACAAATACACACAAGCACACACACATACATGTACACACATCCACACACATGCACATAACATAATTTCTTAAAATTGCACTTAAACAGACTGTTTCTTCTCATAGGATACAAACTCACCATTGGCTTAATAGATACAATAGATAAAGTACACGTTTCTAATAGCACAATGTTAAGTTGAGAATTCTTTTGATGAAAATCTCATCTAATGGTAAAAAGTGTGGAACTTTCTAATTCAAATCACAAGACAGTGAGGGTAAATTCACAGCACACTGTGAGGACTGAGTGGTTATATTATGCAATATTTCAAAATTTTCTCTAAAGAAATTAAATAACCATAAAACATAATTCTTGGACAAAGGTGAAACAAATGTCCTACAGTAAACTTGTTATATACAGATGCTTTATTTATGGTTAAATATCATCACGCTCTGAAAAGACTTTCTCTGCCTATGGGTTTGGAGACACCTTAGACCATAAATTTTCATTGAGAAAGCTATGTATGTCAGTAGTAAACATTGAGGTCTGAGGATGACCATAGAGAGAACTTAGTTAAATATTCCCATCAGGAAAGTAAATGTAAAGTTGCACATACACCTAATACGGTCAACTCTAAGGCAAATTGCTTTCCTGAGTAAATTCTAAAGAAAGTCATAAACTACTATTAATAATGTTCCCTTAATGCCTCAGAACTTGCTAGTCAGTTTGCAAGACTCATTGGCACATTTTAAAATATGCTTATCTCCTAAAACTCTAGCTATCTTTAAAAACCAAGTATTAATAAAAACATTCTATCCACATTTTCTCCTCCTGAAAGGGGATCCTGCATGCATTCAAAAAGGGCCCAAGCTCAGAAGTTCTTTCTTAATCAGGAGTCAGTTTCCCTCCCATCTTATTTACTTTGCTCTTTAGAAGGCAAGCATCACTGTGAAGAGGCTACACTATAAACACTGTAAAAATGCATGGAAAGACTTGAACAATAAATACATCAACAATCAAGAAGCAGAAGTCTATGTGGAGGAGAGTGAATTTCATGATTTTTAATGTTGTCTTTATGGAAAAAGTTCAGAAAGAATGTGAACTTGTTCACTTGCCTATCATTCTCTGTATGTCCTTTGTCTCTCACCAATAAAAATACACACAGTGCATAGAAATAACAAGTGCAGGTGAAGGGTTTGTTTATGCAGAATTGTAAGGCCATCCATGCCCTAAGACTTAGTAACTTTTGTTGCAAGCATTTTGGCATTAGCAGTGAGTGTGAAGGAGTGCAAAGATTATCTCAGAGAAAAAGATTCCACCCAGAATGCAGCTGATGTCAGTCATGCAAATAAGGCCACCGAGCTCACAAGTAAGGAATGTTGTCAGAAGTAGAGGAATTGGAAGCACACATTTGATACTGAAAGAGAGCAGAGATGGAGATGAGGAACTAACTAGGATAAAGTAGGAGGGAAGAGAGCATTTGAGAATCAAATGAAAGTAGTTGTCACAGTTTGATTTTTATTGCTATGATTAACTTCATAGCTAAAAACAACCCAAGAAAGACAGGTTGTTTTGGCATACATATCCCAATTAAACATGATCCATCATGGAGTAAAGCTAAGACAGGAATTCAAGCAGGGAAGGAACTGAAGCAGAGGACATGGAGGAACATTGCTCCATGGCTGGTTCAGCCTGCTTTAAGATCTGAGCCTGGACACTTCCATCTCAATCATTAATCAAGAAAATGTCCTCAGCCTTGCATACTGGCTAATTGGATAAAGCCATTTTCTGAGCTGAAGTTCCCTCTCCCCAGATTTCCTTGCTTGTGTCAAACTGACCTAAATTATCCAACACAGTAACCAACTGCTGAAAGCCTGATAAAAAACAGGCAGGTTTTAATTTTATCTGGAAACATGGAAGGAGAGATATGAAAGTGTCTATGGAGGGGCAGAGATGGAGACCTGTTAGTACCTTAGTACCCGATGATGAGAAAATAGGAGGTGAAAGAGGGGGAATATTTATTTTGCTAACAAAATTGTTGTTATGAAAATTCTAGTGCATGTGAGCTCACTTGAGAGTACTTCTAAGATAGTACATGTTGGTAATGTTAATTGAGAAGACAGATGATTCAGACAAGAAGGGGATTATTATGAGAGCCAACCTCTTGATTTATATCTCTTAAGAGATAACAGTTCCCAAACACAGCAAAAGAAATGGCTTTGGCAGCAACAGGACCAAACCCTTTGTATTGATAGGGGTTGACATTTCTCCTTTTAATTCTATGGGAGATTTGGGGGAACTTGTTAGCTGGTATGTTATTTCACATCTAGTCTATTGATGATCCCTCCTGGAAGGCATCAGCCTCTCTGTGAGGTGGGTGGGTTAAGTCGGAGGCATAGGAGGAATGGAGAGTGAATTGGGATCAATATGTAAAATAAGAAAAAATAATAAATGCAAAAATCAAAATAGATAACTAAAATGGGGAAAGATGAACAAATTTGGAAGAGAAGGTTAAACATGCTGATGTTCGGAAAAGGAAGATGGGAGTTGAAGGGTGGAGACTGGAGGAGGGTTGGAAATAGACAACTCAGACTTTAGGAAAGTACACAGTGTGCTTGTTCATAGGAAAGGGTTGGGTAAGAAGCTTCTACAATAGCTACTATAGTTGATAATGCCATAGCCCACCACTGTAAATACATCCCAAATGATGGACTATTAAGCCAATTGAGCTGGGGAATTAGATATACCTGGGAGACACAGTGGATAAGTGCTTGGCTAGGAAGTGAGAGGAATGAGTTCAGTGATGAGCATGTGAAACAGGATGAACCATTTGAAGGGGTGTGGTAAACATGAAGGAAAAAAGAAGTCAGTACTGAAGGCAGACATTGTATTAGGCATGAATTTACAGCCTATTTCTGTTCTTTCCTCTTAAGTTTTCTTCACTCATTCTATCTCCTCTTCTTTGGGAATTATGGTGGAATCTTCAGGATTCAGCCAAGGTGACACAATAAGACAGAACTTTACAAAGTATCTCAGACATGAATCCAAGATTTTCAAGTCAGAAGACTTCAAAGTTCATCCTCACTGACAGGCCTGTGAACCATTATGCAGACTCTTTTCTATTTGACTCTTTCCCTAAAAGCAGAATAAACAGGATACACTTTTCAGTCCCCATCCTCACTCTGTCCCACCAGGCAACATGCACATAAACTTCTTCTTAGCCAAGATAGTCAGTGTTGTCCTTTCAGTTATTACTCTTGCTTGATCCTTACAAAACCTCCTTGACTTCCAAGGCTGCCATGGTTGCTACTTACTATAGCAATGTTTTCCATCAGCCCCTAGCTCAAAGCCAGGGTGGCAGGCGCAAGTGAAGGACCCCTCTGAATTTACACAGCGATGAGCACAGGGAGTAAGCTCTTCAACACACTCATTTATGTCTGCAGGGAGAAACACACAGCAGCTGTCTTAGCATTGCCAATTAAGACTTATTCATAAATAGTAAAAGTGAATATATTGTCACCTTCCACTTAACCTCTAATTTTCAACATAATAGTAACTATCACAGACTCTATCCACTTAATGAGAAGGGATTTTGAGCAAGTCACCTGCTATGGCTTTGCATCCTGTGTTAGTTTGATTCTCACTAGTTTTTCCTCATGTCTACTAGAACCAACTGCTGCTAATTGGAAAATAAATTGAATGCAACTACAAATAATGGTTCTAATCCATTCCACAAAAGCACAGACAGAAGTCATTGTAGTCTAATGTTATGAATATATCATATTAATAAGCAGATATCACCATTCCCTGGCTTTTCATTTACTTTTGATATTATATATTAATTACAATATTTATCCCTACCCTTCCCTCCCTTCACAGCCTTCCATATATCTTTCCCTACTTTTCTTCAAATTCATGGCCACTTTCTCCATCAATTTGTATTGTATGTATATATGTATTTGTATATACATGTATATTCCCAAATATGACCTGTTGCAACTCCTTGTTTTAAATAAGAAGATGCAGTGATGCAGTGATGGGCAACTCAGATGTGGGGCCTTTCTCATAGCAACCCACACTTGATCAATATACATATTTGTCACTGTTATGACTGTGATGAGACATGTCATATGATGCTGGTATCCTGTCTCTTTCCAGAAATTGATGGTCCTATGATTCAGTGTGACTTCAGTTTTGTGGTCCAGGTAACCTCTTCCTTTTAGCTGAAGAGGTCCTGTCACATCTTTTCTGACTGTTACATCTTTTTCCTTCACATCTGCCTGCCATTCTCCAATCTCATGTACTGGTAGAGCTCTCAAATATGCAGTAGTGTTGGTAAAAGATTTCAAGGATTAATGTATGGGACATTAAAATAGGAGCTTGAAAAATGAAATTGATCTGTTTTTCTATTTATTCTGCTTGTCAGTTTTCAAGAAATAATACTTAAGATCCTCTACTGTACCTTCTGCTGGTTGCCAAGCTAGGTTTGTGGTAAAAAAATGAAAATCAGTGATCAGGCAATGGATCAGCATTTAAGAGCCATTGTCTGCTCTTCTAGAGAAACCAGGTTCAATTCCCATCACCCATATGGCATCCTCTATAACTCAAGTTCCAGGGAATATGATGCCATCTTCTGGCCTCTGTGGGTATTTCATGCACAAAGTGCACAGATATATATGTAAACAAAAGACCCATACATATATAAAATACTAAAACAATAACTTAAAAAAAGGAATGGAAACCAACATCATATATCTTTGCCATAATAATATGCTTAAAATCCGTAAGTAAACTCTTTTTGTTTTCACTGCACTTTATTTATTTTGTGTGCATGTATGCATATGTGCATGGAAGAATAGTGGCAGTTGGTTCTATTCTTCTACCATATGGTCCTGATTTGAACTCAGGTTATCTGGCTTGGCATTAAGTGCCCACACCAGCCAAGCCATTTCACCGACTACAATTTCCCCCCAGGAATTTCACACTGATTTTTGTGTCTAGTTTGTATTCAATTTCTCAAAATGTTCATCAGTCCTGTAAGTCAAGGAACACTGTGCTGTTTTCATAATTAATCCAAATAAACTGTTTCTTATTCCATGAAAATGTCATTATAAAAATGAAGGATTCTGTGGTTTCTCAGAAGTTATTAAAACAAAGACTATCCCACAGGAATCCCTTCATCCTCCAATGGTGCCAGTCATGAAATAATTTGGCCCTTTCATCTTTGAACTGAAGTGTGTCTGCTTTGCTATTTCTGGAAACAGAAATGTGTAACCTTGTGTTTATGGGGTTTCTTTCTCTTCTCATTTTAATTATTCCTAAGTTCTGAGGGCCTCATTTGCACATACTTGCTTTTCAAAGGTTACCCCACCTCTGTAGTCTCTAATCAAAAACTCCCTGTGTGGTTACTGAGGGTTTTGAAAGATTAATTCTCAATTTCACTTTTTTAAAAAAAGAAACAAAATGCAAAAAGCATTACTTCTGAAAGCACACTAGGTAATTTTTATAATAAGTAAGAATTTCACTGAGGTTTTTTTTTTTTTTTGTAGCATTCTAAAATAATTTTCATAGTGATCAAGAATCAAAGTGTTATTTTTTTTAAGCAGTAAATAAAAACACCTTTCTCCTACCTGAGCCAACTGCTCAATCTGACTACAACAGAATTTCAAACAATTACCCAATTAAGACATCAGTTTCAGCTTCCTACCTTCACAGGCCTTTTTGTCTTCAGACAGCTGGTACCCAGCATGGCAGGCACACCTGGCCACACCATTCTCGCTTTGACATAGGTGAGCACATCCATTCCCACCTGCACAGGTGTCTGTCTCTGAAAACAATGAAGCAGTGAGGGTTTGCAATTCATTCAGGTTGGAAAGATGTGCAGAGTGGATAGCTAGACAAAGAAATGTCACAAAGACTTTAGAATCATTTGTTTCACATTTAAAGATAGTTAAAGATTCCAGAACTGACTTTCCTACTTTACTATGCAACTTATTCAACAAACGCATTTCTGTTTTGTTATCTGAGCCTGAATTCTGGACAAAACAAATAGTCAGATCAAGATCAAAAGGGTCTTAATATCCTTGTTTTCAAGTTCGTATCTCCTGTCACCTGATACCCAAGGGAAATGACAGCAGTTCCTTTGAATGGCTCTTTTCTATTTCTCTACGAGATGTTATACCTGTCAATAGTCAGATTTTCCTTAGCTCAACTCTTTCCCCATATTCCCCCGGATACTGGGTGAGCAGTCATGGCTTCAGGAAAGGCAGATGGAGAAACAAACGGAGGATTCCCAGCTCCAGTCAATGGGGATGGGAATTTAATCTTTCCTTCTCTCTTGAGGACAGGATATTTGTATGTAACACATATTGACCTTGAACCCAACCTGACCCCCAGCTATGGCTTCAGAATGCCACAGTTAGCTATGAACCAACACTCTTGCTAGTAATTAAATTTAAAATTCCTAAAAGTCCTTGGTCCAGACTATAATTACCATTATCAATGATTGCATGAGGATTTCTTGTATTTGTTAAAGGCTTTTGAATTTAGATATGCTTGTTTAATCTGCACTCTCTTTTTGGAAATGTCTTTTCTTGGATTTTGGGCAGAGTAATGCAGCATCACAAAATGTGTCCCCTGGTGCTGTGTATGCTTAAGCATCTGACAAACACTACAGCTTTAGTCTACATTCTTTAATAGCTCGGTATTTCTGTTTTGAAGAACTATGAACATCGATTCAGTTCCTTCATCAGACATAGGGATGTTCCAACTATCTCTTCCTATGAGACTACCAGATTGTCTTTACAAAGAATGGATCTAGTTTTACCTAGGTTATACAAAGAAACTGACAGAAATAATTGGAGATTTGAATATTTCTGTGACTGCAATTTATAAGACAAAGTTACAGGAGGGGCTTAGGGTGTCATTCGGTGGCAAATTGTCTGTGAGTATATATCCAGAGTTTCTTAACATTGAGCATTTGTCCCAGCACCACGAAATAATAAACTGAAAGAAGGTGACAAGACATTAAAAATTACAGAGACAAAACTTAACAATGTTACACTAACTGACTGATATTTATAACTCTTTCATCAACATTTAAACATTGTACATTCTTTTTTTAGTGCACACAGGGCATGGGAAATGAAATGACAAATCATGACCTGAGTCAAACCAAAACGGCAATAGACATAAAATGACTACAGGAGATTTTTTTTTTCTATTTTTCTGTTCCTCTGACAGTGCTGGTTACATGGGTATTAGGTACACACAGTCAGGTCTTCATGTTTACTAAGTAAGTACTTTCCCATTGTGCCATCTCCCTAGGCCAAGGAAAATATATATGTAATTATACCTTTGTGTGTACATATACGTGTGTGTGTGTGTGTGTGTGTGTGTGTGTGTGTGTATGTGTGTACATATATATATATATGTACACACATATATAATTTTTAAAGTGTGATGGGAGATGTCATTCTGTAAATATGTTTCTCATACTGGTTAATGAATAAAGCACTGTTGGTCAATAGGAAAGCAAGATAGGCAGGACTAGGAGACAAGGAGGATTCGAGGAAGTAGTAGGGAGGAGTCAGCATAGAGAGATTGGAGAGAACAGAGGTCCAGGCCCACTCTACAGTAAGATGCGACCATGTGGAAATACTTAGATTAATAGAAATGGGTTAATATTTAAGACAAAGCCAGCCGATAAGAAACAAGTAACTGGCCAACAACATTTTTATCTATTACAGAGTCTCTGTGTGTTATTTGCGGTGGGAAAAACCTTACTCCTTACAAAAGTATAATTATTTTTTTTTTATTTTACATCCCAATCTCAGCTTCTCCTCCTTCCTCTCCTCCCATTTCCTCCTTCTATCTCTCCTTCAATACCCTCAATCCACTCCTCCCTGTTTCTGTTCAGAAAGGAGCAATATTCTGATGGGTATCAACAAAGCATGGGATATCAAGTTGGCACAATACTAAGCACCTTCTCTTGTATTAAGGCTGGGCAAGTCAATCCAGTATGGGGAAATAGGTTCCCAAGAGCCAGGCAAAGTGTACAGGACAACCCTGCCCCCACTGTTGGGAGTCCCACAAGTGGACAAAGCTAAACAACTGTATCATATGTGTAGAGGGCCTAGGTTGGTCCCATGCAGGCTCCCTGGTTCAGATTTTGTGGGTTTTCTTGTGATTTCATTGATCCTTCTGGCTCCTACAATGCTTCCTTCTCTTTAGCAGGATTCCCTGAGCTCAGCATAATGTGTGGCTATGGGTTTCCACATTTGTTTCCATCAATTATTGCAAGAAGGCCCTCTGATGACAACTGGTGTAGTCACCAATCTTACCACAGGAGATAGCTAGTTCAGACTATGAATTCCCTATGTCTAGGAGATTTAGCTGGTGTAATTCTTATAGATTCATGGGAGTTTCCCTTGCTTCAGGTTTCTACTTGACCCCAAAATGACCCCCTTCCCAGTCTTCTCGTTCTGTACTTTCCCCCTCCATATATTTCCAAACTGATCCCTCAAGTTCCCAACCTAGGAGATCTCATTTATTTCTACTTCCTAGGGAGATTCATACATTTCCTTTTAGTCTCTTCTTGTTATCTAGCCCCTCTGGGTCTGTATTTACATTACAGCTAATATTTACTTATGAGTGAATACATTCTATGTTTGTGTTACTGGGTCTGTGTTACCTCACTGAGGATGAATATTTAGCTCCATCCATTTGCCTTCATATTTCCTGATGTCATTGTTTTTAACAGGTGGATAATACTCCATTGTATACATGTACCACATTTTCTTTAAACACTCTTTGGTTGAGGGACATCATTGTTTCCAGGTTATGGCTACGGCAAATAATGCTGCTATGAACATAGTTGAGTAAATATCCTTGTGGTATGACTGAGCATCCTTTGGGTTTATGCCCAAGAGTGATATAGCTGGGTCTTGAGGTAGATTGATTTCTAATTTTCTGAGAAAGCACTATATTGATTTCCAAAGAGGCTTTCTAGGTTTGCACTCCCACTAGCATACTCCCTACCATGAGCTGTTACTTATATTTTTGATATTAGCTATTCTGACATGTGTAGGATTTGGAATTTCATTTCTCTGATGGCTAAGGATGTTGAACATTTCTTTGTTTCTCTGCCATTTGAGATTCTTCTGTTGAAAATTCTCTGTCTAGGTATATTCCCCATTTTTTAAATTGGATTATTTTTTGATGTCTCATTCAAATATTTTTAAATAATCAAAACACACTGATATGAAAATTGAAACAGTGTTTAGAGAATCTGGAAGCTTTAAGCATTTATGTCAAAAGTTAACACTAACATTTAGAATTTTCAAAAATTAAATAAGGTCAACCCAAAATAAATAGAAAAGTAACTCTGATAATGGAAACATAAACACTGAAGACATGCATGAATTTTTTTTTTCAAAAGCTGAGTGGCACTGACAGTACTCTAGCTAAGCTGATGAAAATTAAAGCAGGATGACAATCAAGAAAATATGACCAAAATTTATACACATATAACTGACATGTCTATATGATGCAGGCAAAAACTGCCAATAGAGCAAAATTTACCTAAACTGACTTAAAAACCATAGGAAGTTTTTGAACTCCAACTTCAAATTAGTTACCAAATTTGATTGTTTTCTTCCTCGAGAAATTGTTAGTAAATCATCTCAAACATTGAAACAAACAACTATCCCAATGCTATGGAAGCTCTGGCAGGAAAAAAATTTGAGGTGTGATGCTTCTCATCTTTAGAGTCCAGCTGACATCCAGCCATATGATAGCACAAACATAAACTTTCCAGAATAGTCCACATTAGCATTGATGCAGAATGCTTGGTCACATCTTTAACCAACATTTCCAAGGTGTACCAAGGCAATGATATATGGATGTACCTAGAATCCTCATGTATTGAGAGGAAACATAGGATTGTTTAATTGTATAGGCTGGAGAGGTGGCCTGGAGAGTCAAGGCACTCACTACCAAGCCTGATGATTCGAGTTCCATTCCTCAGCTCCAGGAACTGAGATGAGAGAACGTAATCTTTGCTATACGCCAGGCTCTGACCTCCACATGTATGCTGTGGAGTGTGCACCCACACACAAACGCCATGTGTGCACTCACAGACACACACCAAATAAGTACATGTAATATAATTTTAAAAACAGTTAGTTATAGAAGATATCATAGGAGTATTTTATAAGATTAAATTTGTAGGTAGAATATGATCCAATAATATTGTTCGAGGCTGGTTATGACTTAAAAAAACGATACCTCATAAAATCACAGAATAAAGTATTAAAAAAATAGATGTAAAAGTAGATGAATTGATAAAATATTATGCTGTACAAAAGAGGAAAGTCAAATGATCACACATAGACTAATGCCATTTACATGGCTTCCGCAAACTACAGGTCTAATCCCAAGTGGCAAAAAGCAAACATAAGTTACTTAAGTTGTAAGTAACTATTCTTGGTTGTCAACTTGACTGCTTCTGGAATTGACAAAAAGCCAAGCAGCTGGCCATACCTGTGAGGAGTTTTTATTTAATTAAATCATTTGTGGAAGGAAGACACCACCCTATCCCCGCTGCTGCCTTCAATTTAGATTGTTTGATGTGGGAACACCTACTCCGAATCTGAGCCATACTTTTTTTTGCAACAGCCCATGTAAGGGACACTGAATGAAGAGGCGTTTGCTTCTTGCCTATTTTCCTTTTTTTTTTTTCTGGTAAATTTATCCTGCTGCCAACGCTTACCTTCACTGGCATTAGAGCCAACTTCTTCACACTTTCAGTATATACCAAAGTTCAGC